GATGAGTCGGCGGCGTTGAGTTGGCGGTGATGAATCGTCCTGCACACCCAACGCTCTATCCTTGTACTTACTTATTCATCTGTTATAAATTGACTTTCATCATATGATTAGGTTTTATTACAATTCTAATCATCACTTTTTAAATCAATAAACATTGCAGATGAGTAAAGGTAGTTAAAATAATGCCGGTGTCAAGGGGAAAACTGTCCTTTTGACACATTGATTTTTTTTCGGGCACGTTTTCTAAAATATGACTTGGACATTTATATAGAAGAGGATAGTATATGATTTTATCTCACTCTTGAGTATTTCATGTTTTTATGACCAGCGATAAAGTCTGTGATACATGGTCATCAAAAGGCGATAAAATAACAGATGAATAAATGAAAACTTTTAGGCACGTGTGACAACAAAATGGACGTTGAAAACTTCCCGTGAGAGGCTTATAATAACAGTCACATTTGGGGATGAGGGAGTTGTGGAGTGCTTGTTAACAGGGACTGGCTCTCCCTCAGGTTAGTTCCGATGTCGTCCATCAGAGTTGCCAGCCACACAGCTTGATAGACAGAGTTGATAGCGGGAAAAGTTTAGATGGGAAGCTTATCTATTGGTCTGAGGTGTTAGAAGTGGCAGAAGTTGACCAAGTGACAGTTACCTACCCACCCAGGTCGTGTAAGAGAATGATCGAAATAAACATTGAAAAGTGGGTTGATGTCCTCATTTCAAAGTGTGGCATTTTTTTTTCAACTTTCATTTCCCCTACGAGCTTGCAATGGGTCTAAATTTTAGATGTTTACAAAGCGAATGAATAAAGGTTGATCTTTGATAAATTTAGTGGAATTCGGCTTAAGACAAACTACATACTTGAGTTTTGAGATTTGCTAAGTTTAGCGGAATTTAACATAAGACTAATAGATTTTTGAATAAGAATATATGGCAAGGTGAGTATAGAATAAGGCAAAACACAAACTTGAATCTTGAGTAGTTTATAAAGCCAAACAGAATCCTGATATTTTCCAAGCAAAACACACATTTGAATCATGAATAGTTCTATTTGACTGTATAAGGCCAAATAGAATCAAATAAAATCTTGATATTTACTAAACGTTCCTTAGTACAGCATAAGGCAAAACACACAATTGAATATGTTATAAGGCCAATCACACTTGATATTTGCGAAGTTTAGATGAGCACATCATAAGGCGAAATGCCCCTAATGAGTATTGCTAAGCTTTCCTTAGTAGAGCATACAGCAAAACCAATTCTGGAATCTGGATATTTGTTAAAGTTAGATAGGTGCAGAATAAGGTGAAATTCAACTTGAAATGTGTGAGGTCACAAAGGTTATGCTTTAAAAGAATTATGTCACCTTGTCCTAAGGAGGCTACATTTAGTTAATATTAAATGATGGAATATTTTCCGGGGACACACACACACACACACACACACACACACAAAAAAAAAAAAAAAAAAAAAAAAAACACACACACATTATTCATACACCCATCAATTTTGAATATTTTTATCCATTTCTCAGAATCTAAGCTCCGTATGATGCCAATTTTTTTGATATATTAATGAGAACAAAAAAGGAATATAAAGCTCCATTTTCAGAACAATAGGTTAAATGCAATAAATTTGACGGGTGAATTATGCAAAACAGGAATAGACAAAATTATTTGTACAGTAGAAAATATCGTTTTAAATTGGTTCGCGTAAGTATATTTGTGATAATCCCACCAAAGAATATCACGTGGTGCATAGAGTGTCACTATTGTTATTCTTACGTTAACAACACGATGGGGGAAGACAAAAGAGCTTAGCATTGACTTGAGACAGAGAATTATTAACTTCCACAAATCGGGAAATCGAGCATTATTTCAAATCCGTTTGTTATCTCTAGAACTACGGTACAGGCCGTTATAAGAAAAAGTTTAAACAGTTTGGTACGACAGAGAATTTGCCTGGACGTGAAAGTAAACCCAAATTGTCACTGAGAACTGCACGAAAACTGTGTCGTGAGGTTAATATAAACCCAAGAGTTGTTTTGAAAGACGTTGCCAAAAGTTTGAATACGATGGGTATACGATACATAAATACTCGCACAATGCAACATTGTATAAATAGAAATGAGTTTTATGGAAACCAACCATGATGAACCCCTGTTCACAAACCATGTCACATTATTGCTTAGTTTAATTGTGCCAAAACGTTCTTGGACAAAAAAAAAATGCTTTTGGGAACAAGTTCTATGAAATGATGAAACAAAAAAAATGAGCTGTACAGATTTGGCGAAAGAAAGATGGGGCTTTCATCCCAAAAAACACAGTGGCAACATTAAAACATGGAGGCGGCTCGATGATGTTTTGGTGTTGTTTTGGCTCAATGGGGACTGGACAATTAATTACAAGAGGAATGCAGACTATGTCAAAATTCTGGATGAAAATCTACGACCGTCAATGCAAAATCATCATCTAGATCGTTGATTTACTTTCCAGCAAGATAAGGATCCCAAAAATACGTCTAAATCAGTGATTACGTGGCTTCAGAAAAAGAAGATTACAGTTCTGCCATGGCCTTCAATGACTCTTGACTTGAAACCTATTGAAAATCTATGGCAAGAACTGAAAGTTCGAAGAAACCGTCGGTCAACAAAGAAACCTTCACGAATTAGAACGTGTAACCATTGATGAATGGAAGAAAATCCCAGAAAAGACTTGCTCAAATCTCATCAAAATTTTTAGAAAACGATTGCAGTAAGTTATAAATATGAGAGGTCATGCTATTGACTATTAATATTGTGAAAATTGTTCTATTTTTTTCTACGGTTGAAGATGAACGCTGACATAAATTTAATATATCAACACATGTACAAAAAGGAAGAAGGAACATGAAAAAGAAAAAAAAATCCAAAGACGAGATAAAAAATTCTAATGAAGAGTTTAAGAGTTTATAAAATGGAAATAAGAATATAAAATTAATACTATTAGATAATTATTGTAGAAATTTTTTTTATAAAAGATATTAATATTAATCTATTCAATACTATATACTTTAATTATATAGTAAAAATATATATTGAAAATTAGGTAAGTAAATTATTAATATACTAATTTCATTTAAATATAATAAATCTTAATATCTCAATACAATATTAATGATATTTAAATATTAGATTTATAATTTAAATTATATCATATTTATATTAATTATTTAATTGGGATAAGCCAGGTATTAACTTTAATCATCTCCTTTGGGAAAAGCATTGTCTGATCGGGAAGTATCGTTGGAACTGAGCCGAATAATGGATAAAAAACCCGCATAAAAATGGAGGTTTAGTTGACGTAGAAAGCTACAAATATGACAGTATTTTCCATTGTGTTGGGATCAGACGATTCACATATTTTTCTGCGCTTTTTCGGTTCAAGTTTAATTTAACTATACAAGATGAAATTCACACACCAGTGAGTTTCAATGGAAAGTCGTGATTCTACTAATTATGAAGCGTTTATTTTATATAAAAATAAACAGAAATGAAATTTTTTAGGTTAAGACTTTTACCGCTGAATGATTTTTTTTCTACACCCGGAGCTATAAAAACTGAAAAAGAGATCTTTTGTGTTGGTAAGTCTGCCGTGTGCTGAGCTTTTTAATATTTCTGCCTTTCTTAATATGTAAAAAGGATTTAATTTGTTTGATGCGGTCACCCACCAATATGAAACTCACATATCTTACAAATGTAAAAGAACGCCACAATACCTTCCGCCACAATAATTTTCACTGTTTGATCCTGTGAGTATTTGCATAGTACTTTCTCTTCAAAAGAAAACACGTGTACTGAAAGAATTTTTTACAGCTTATCAACCTTTTGCCGATTATTTAAAAACATAAATTATTTCTAGAGTAGATTCATAGCCTCACTATCAGGTGCCATTTAAGCTAACTCCTGCAGAAAGCACTTGACTGGGATTTCCCCACAATACGTGGGAAGAAGTAGATGTGATAGGCATCAATAAATTACAGAACTCAAAATTTATCGCTGCATTTAAGTATTGCATTAATTTTCAAGATTACCTTTTAAAAGTTCAACGATAATTCTTCTGTCGCCACTTAATTTAAAGACAGTTTGATGTACGTAGGTTCTTACTTTCCGTACAAACAATTATTTTCATTTTATTGATAACGTTCATTAGATTTCGCAATTAATTTTGATTATTCCCAAATTCATTTCCAAGTTATAAAAATTGTTATCGTACAAAAAATTCGTCATAAAAAATCACATAAAATATTCGCTGAAAACACTCGCAGTAATGACACAGACAATTTTATTTTGAAATGATTGTAATTTGAGAACAGTAATTTTTTTCATTTGTACATGAGCTATTGAAAGTTAGAGTGTTGTATCCCTTTAATTGTTTTTATTAGTATAAGCCAAGATGGCGGAATCCGAAAACAATCGCAATAATGAAAAGTTGGGAATCTAAAATTTCAGGATTGCGGGTCCGGATCCGGAATGTTATTTATTTTGCTCACGGAGTCTCGGCCTGATTCCAAAATGGTGTGATATGTTGAACTACGGCCTCTAGGAGCAAAATTGAAAAAGTGTGACACAGTGACACACTGACGGTAGCATTTATTATACACATTGTATGAATTTATTTAAGATAATAATGACTTACTGATATAAATCCAACTAATTAGAGTGTAACTAGGGAGAGTAGTGGTGAATTCACACCTTTCTCAAGTGTATTTGATTGATTAATTGTTTTCTACTGTTTATCAACCATTTGCAGGTTACTTAAAGGAAAAGATATTTTTAGATTTTAAGAATTTTTTTTAGATAATAATGTTTTTAGTAATGCAAGTCACTAATTAACCCATATTTAGGGGAAAAGGGGTGTATTCATGCATTTCGTAAGGGTATTTGCACGTAAATGGATGAAACCCATCGTGAATTGGAACTTGCCTCTCCAATTAACAATTCCATTACACCACCCGCACATCATCTGGTATTCCCAAACGGTTACCCTCTAGGCACTGACCAGACTCGATGGTGCTTAACGTCGGTGATCATACGGAAACCAGTGTTTCAACGTGATGTGGTCGTAATCTATTCGGATCATAGACTCGTCTGTGCCCGGATGGTGATAGGCAGTAGGCCTAGAATGACTGGACACTGGAAGTTCAATCTGTTCTTAATGGACAGGCGGGAGTTTCAGTAACAGCTGACTAGGTTAGTGCAGTGGGAATTAGGGGGAGCGGTTATTAGGGGTAGGTGGTGGGAGAGGTTTGAGGATAGAATTAGGTCCTTCACCACTGAATATATCCAACGACTCGCCCTAGATAAGGCTAAAAAGGTGAAGGCTCTAGAGGATAGTCTGTCCCATGTGGTGGCTGGGGGGATTCCCTAGAGATAGCTGAAGCTAGGCACGCTTTGAAGCGTGAGGCTAGCAAGTGCTATCAGGGTCAGTTAGTTAGACATAGGTTAAACAAGATGTCTAATGAGGCCGTGAACAATGGGCGCAGAATTGCGCAAGAAAGAGATCCGTCGTGGTTCTGATCGATACATTCGTGAGGTCATTACCCCGGAGGGGCGTTCTCTGAGGTCGATCAAGGACATGTGCGAGCCGTTTTACCAAGGAGCCTGGTCTCAGTGGCGACGAGTTTCTCAGCTATTTGGCTGACTTTCCATGGCTTTCGCCGGCTGAAGCGTCTAGCTGCAAGGGAGAGATCAGAGGGCGAAGTCTACTTGGCACCGAAGAAGGTCGGCAGAGGCAAGACGCCGGGACTTGATGGTCTGCCCTATGAAATGTACTTGAGGCTGTCGCACATCTTTTTCCCGATTTTGACAGGGGTGTTTAACAACTGGTTCGGCAGGGGTCCATCCCCAAACGGATTTCCAGGGGTGCGATCACACTGTTGAAAAAGGACAAGGGTATTGGCAGGGATTTTGATGATTGTAGCCACATAACTCTGCTAAACACAGAGTTAAAGATTTTGGCCAAGATCCTGACGGAGCGTTTGCAGTCAGTCGTCCCGAGCTTGTTGGGACCCCAGTAGACTTGTGCTGGAAGGGGTCGAACAATTTAAAGCAATCTGCATATGATCCGCATGATCATAGAGGGAGTAAAAGACGACGATAAGGCCACGCTGATCAATTTGGATCAGTACAAGGCATTTGACAGGGTGGACCATCAGCACCTGGCTGCTGTCCTGCAGGCCGCCGGATTCGAACCCGATTTCTGCAAGTGGATTAACCTCCTGCATCGCTCCCCCAGTGCGGTGGTATAGGTGAACAAGAAGTGGTTGAGCGCTTTTGCATGCAACTCGGTGGATATATTTGCTAAGGAAGCTCCCATCTACCAAAACGGCTTTAGTTTCTCGTTAAATGCGTTAATTGACTCCTTGCAGGAAAACAGAGTGGAGATATTTCCTTGGGGCTCTTTGTTCAAGACATTTCGCTTTCCAAAACTGAAAGACAAGTTGGTGAAAACATACCTTAATTTAAACTTTACATTATGAGTTTTAAGTTTTAAGAAATCGAAAACTAAAAACAGTCATTTTGCAGAGATCAGATGAAAAAAATTACAATAAATAAATATTTACGTTAACAAAATTGCTTAGATTAATTTAATATTTAATTTAATGATAAATCTAATATTCTATTTTAAATAATAATTATTAACTACAAAATACTCCATATATATATATATATATATATATATATATATATATATATATATATATATATTGTGAGTCTTAAATTTTCTGCGCCCCGTTGTCGCTCTTGAAAATATCTCATTGTCCCCATTGACCCACGTTGAGAAACCAATGATTTAAACTATTTATTTATGAGATTATTTATTGGAATGTTTGGCAAAACATCGACTAATTGACAACCGATTCGAACTTTATAAAATGATAAATAAGGATTTCTTTATACTTAGTTCACATATTTTAATAATTTAGTAAATGTTTTAAAAAATATTGTTTGCATGTTTATTTCTTTATCAATTGATAAATGATAAATATTGCATTGCATTAGTTGTTAATACAATTGTATGACTTTTTAGAATCCTTTTGAATGCCACCAAGCGCAGAAAAACACAGAGCTTTTTGTTCTTTAAGATTCATTAAAATAATTTATTTTACTTTTATTCTGATTTTTTTTTTGTTCAGGATTGTCACAATGTACCGATTTTATCGCCAGATTCTGTCTTGTCAAACCGGACGGTTTTCCATGTTTGGCAAAAAGAGAAAGATAAGAATTTAAATACTGACTGATGTTTGTTTTTCCACATTCATTTGCAACTCACTTTCCTAGTTTCTGAATTTCCCCAAGGCAATTAAACAATATACCACACTTTGCTAATCACACACGCAATAAAGAGCTGAGTAAACTTCAAAGACGGTTTTGAGTTTTCATTAATTTTGTGTAAAAATAACTCGAGAAAATTAAAAGAAAATTGACATGAAAGCAGACGAAAGGAAAAAATAAATACCTGTATATGAAGAGATGGGAAAGGAGATAAAAGAAAGATGTCGAAAGAGAGTTTTGCTAGTTAGAACCAAAGAAACAATGAGTAATAGACTGAAGGGGTTTGGGATGGAAAGGTGAAAAATGCGATACATTAAATACATGATGGCAAAGGATAGAGCAAAAGAATAATAAAAGAGAGGACCCATTAGGCACTATTTGTGCATTCCATGTTTGCATCATTCATCTATTGAAATAGATGAATAAGAAACATTGAAAACGATAAGGGTGAGAATAAGAAGATACAGGTGACGTGTAAGAGTAGAGCAGAGGCATAAGATAATGTATAATCTTAGTCGTCAACGACCGTCAAATTTGCTTGGGACTTCATTTAATGATCTGATATTAGTAATGAAAAGTAGGATAGCAAGGACCCCAAGAGTGGCATTTAATGAACAAGAAGAATTACAATGAGTATTGGTCAAGAAAAAACAAAAAAGAGAAAGAGAGATAAAACATGACATGTAAGCAATGAAGAAGTCTTAAGAAAATATGAATTATAAGGAAACTGATATTTATAATCAGAGAGAGACAGATGAAATCCGAGACACCTAATGAAAAAAGAGAGTTTGGATAATCTAACACTCACAAGGTAGAATGGAGACAAAAGAAGCAAGGAAAAAACATCGAGTGACTTACTAAACGAGATTGTGTAAATGGATGACAGAACGGGGACAAATGATAACGGTGAAGATAGCCGTTTTCATGCAAGAAACAATTGACATTCATTGACAGAACAGTTAGCGTTAAAAGTTTATAAATAATTCTATTTCATTTATCAAAGCAATAAAAAAAATTCTAATTAAATAATGTCTTAGATTTATTGCATTTTTTATTTTACGATTCAAAGTTGATTGAGGTATGTTTGCCAAAAATAATTTGATGATTTAAATACTCTGAGGACATTTACTAATATAAAATATAAACATTAAGCGATACAAAAAAAAAAAAGAATTTTGCGAAATTTCATAAAATTAAATGAGTTGGTGAATGGGTAATAGATGAAAAAAAAAACATTTCAAAAATAATTTCCTTCATTTTTGAATATGTCCTCAATGTTTAATGGCAATCCGAAAATTAGCTGATTATATCGTTCTTGTTCTTTTGTTTTTGTTTTTTTAACGTTTCTGCGATATGTCTGTTAGATCACAAGTGTGGTATTTTAAAAGAGGACTAAAATACAAAAAAAAAAAAAAAATTGAGTACAAAAAAATAATTTCTGGAAATTTCATAAAATTAAATGAGTTGGTGAATAAGGTAACAGATGTAAAGAAAGAAAAAAATATTAAACATTTCAAAAATAATTTCCTTAATTTTCCTGAAAGTTTAATGGCAAATCGAAAATTATCAGATTTTTGCAAGAATTTTCAAATCAATGTTTTTCACCGCAAATTTCCGTACAAATTTATGATCCCGCGTTGACGCCAGGAAATTTTTAACCTAAATTTGGAAATTTCTAAAAAGGATAAAAATAATTTTTAAATGAAGACATACTTTGATATTTCCTCTTAATAGTAACACAAACATTTTGACAATAAAATGTTTCTATCTTGTTTTGGACATTTTTTTCATCGCGTATCCGCTTTCCTTGCGAATTTTTCAAAATACTTAATTTTATGCTTGATCCATCCGGAAAGTATCCAGCCATTATGAATATCTCAACAATTCATTCTTGTATGTTTCTTGTTCTTTTGTTTTTTTGAACATCTCAGCGATATGTCTGTAAGATCACAAGTGAGGTATTTTAAAACAGTATTAAAGTGTCAATATCTTAGATGGACTACCCTTTTCATTGATATTATATGACTGGATCATTTCTGGACTGATCTCGAATATTTGTTCTTATTGCATTTCAAGGTATATCATCAAATTCTGTTCAGAAAATGGTTCAAAATCACCCCCGGGTGTTATAAGCTGTGTTGAAGTACCTGATTGGCTAATGTTTCCTCAGACGTCGTAAGCGTATTTTTGCTTAGCTTAACTCCATAATACAGGCTGTGTATCCATTATCTAAAATTTCAATTCAAATGAAAAATTTCAGAAACCGAAGCATTTCAGGTGATGTTCAATTGTTGTAAGCGACCTCATCTGTCCCAGTGAGGGGTTCCTCAGTTTCGTAGCCTACATTGGCGCCAGTTTTTTTGCTAACGATCGTCACAGCAACACCTTTGTTCGTGGATGACTTACCAAGTGTTTCGTGCTTAGTAAAGATTATCAAAATGTCAAAAAATCCTACATTTATATATTTTTTATAAACAGCGAACATGATTTTTGTAGACGTACAGTACAGAAAGTACAAAACATTATTTTTACGTGAAAAACCCATGTGAGCATTACATGATTAGTATCATTACCTGTATCTGTATGTACACAAAATTCATTAGATTTTAAATAAAACTACTTTCAAAGTATATGTTATTTATATAAACCGACCGTCAGTGTATATGTATAAGCTGTGTTATGAAATGTCAAGGAATATTGTGTTTATGCTTGGGTTCCATTCCCAAACTGCTTCATTTTAGAGATGCTAAAATTAAATGGATACAAATTGAATAACCTGTATCCTCAAATCTAAAAAATAAAAATAATCTGAAAACCGAACAGAGGACAATTTATACGATAAAATTAATATAGCGTAAAGATGGGAAAATAGGCAGCATCACTCTTCAGGTTTAACTAATTTGCATATTGATTTTAAAAAGTTTAGTTCATTAATCAACCGTTCTTCATTACTACTCTTTTATTCGAGAATTGTTTTGATTTTCATATCAAAAATAGTTCTAGGAATATCATACTTATTATAAAACCCAGGTCGTGTGTGTGTGTGTGTGTGTGTCTGTTCATTTATATATGGGATCGGATTTCCTACATTTTTCAACCGATTTCAACAAAACTTCACAGGACTACGTAAAATTACCTTGCGGTGGTTCTGACAGCGCCCAAAATTGGAAAAAATACAATTGTTTTTGCACGAAATCAATTTGAAAACACGATTAAGAGTCATCGCTGTCGCGAGAATGAAAGGGGGACAACTCATATCGAGTTATACTTATTATAAAACCCAGGTTGTTTTTGTGTGTGTGTGTGTGTGAATGTGTGTGTGTGTGTGTGTGTGTGTGTTCGTTTATATATGGGATCGTATTTCCTACATTTTTCAACCGATTTCAACAAAACTTCACTTTTTCTTTGGCAGGTAGTGTTTCTTATTGTCTTGCACACTTTTTCTTTATTTTTACATTCAGAATGCTTTAAAAAATCAATTTACAAGACAATTGTTTATAATAAAATTCTATTCAATCGGTAGACTCATAACGATTGAAAATAATGTTTTTGTTTGAGTTTAGGTTTGACCAATTCGTAAAAAAAAACAAAAACAAAACAAAACAAAAAAAAACTAATTAAGACATGTCTCTTTGTGCATGTTTACCCATCTATTCAATTTAAATCATTAAATAGGTTACTTACTGTTTCTTGTACATCTATTGCTCTTAATATGCCCTGTGAGTATTAAATTCTCCAAGATTTTGTAACATTGAGTATCCAAGAAATCTTTCTAATTGTTGGTATAAGTTTGCTTGTAGTTCGTATTTTCTTAAAAAAAAACCTCCGCGTTTTTGTTTTGTCTATGGTATTCTAAGCATTCTAAACCGGTAGAAAAAAACCCGTCGATGATGAAGAGGCTTAATCTCTTCATCAGTGAGATTAAATGCTACATATAAACAAAGTGTTGAAATCCTAAGAACAATTTCTTAATATTTAGCCTAGTTTCTGAAAGTCATCTTTCGCTATTTCTATCCGCCTTTCGATTTCAGTGTTAGACTTTCTATCAGAAATGTAGTCGTAGAGATTATGAATGTTTGGTCATTTGTCTTAGTGATTTATTATTTACAACAGCCTGTTTGGTTGACTGGTGGTAAATTTTCAAGATCGGACAAATAACCATGCTGAAGCAAATCGAAGACTGCACACGGAGCTGGGGAAGGAGCAATCCACAATATGGAGATTCATTACAGGACTGCAAAGGGTGCAAAGAAACCGAGATGCATTTTTCGAGCAATTAATTGTGTGTGTGCGGGGGGGGGTGTCATCCCGCTCCCCCTAATTTGAAGAGTTGCATAAAAGCCGATGAAATAATATTTCAAATTGTGTCTTCTTTTTCATATCCATTTCTAACTGAATATTTAAGGGGAATTGCATATAATTTTCAACAAGTTTTTCAATTAAAAATAAAGTCATCTATTAAAAAATGATCCTTCATAAATTACTTTTATTTGTTTTTAAAAAGTCGACGAAAAAATTTCATAGGTTGCATGTCGCTGAGTTGTCCTGGCGCAGAGTCGGCTGATGGTGAGTTGTCCTGGAGTTGAGTTGTCACGGAGATGAAATGGCCGGTGTTGTGTCAGCGATGTTGAGTCGTCGGGGATGAGTCGTCCTGCACTCCAGATGAGTCTAGGTCTGATGAATGAATGGACTATTGCTGCCGTATCTGGGTGTTGTCCAGCGATGACAGAGTTCAAATGCGATTACGCAGTCCTGTGGGTGATGAATTATTTTCCACCTTAAAACCACTTTTCCACAGAAAAAAACGTTGCTAGCATTTCATTACTATATCGATATATCCATGGCAAATGTTCAGACGAGCTACATTCCTTAGTTCCATCAGTTTAGACCTTCACAGCTAGGACTCACCCTGTCACGTACACGGTGTTAACTCATTCTCGTTGTTAAGGCGGAAGTTCTCCTCATAGACCTTCTTCCGCAGGCTGCCAAGAGGATGCTTCCCCGATCACTAGTCTTAAACACTTGATGTTTAAAGTCAACCATCATCTATCCTTTATATTCTCATATCTCCTCTCTTTACGCACTCACGACAACCGCATTCATTAACTCTTTAACTTGAGTGGCTCTTGTACTTTGTTTTTGGTTAAGAATACTCAGGATAGATATAGTATTCTTTATTTTTCCTCACCCTTTGAAGGTCTCTTTACTGGGAGTATGCCTTCCCTGATTCATTGGGAGGAATGGCCTATTACCCTACCGCGCTTGGCCCAACGCATGTTGGTAAGGGGAGATGTGAGACGCTTGGGCGATCATATCTCTTTTCAATTCATGATTAATGTGGTCAGGGTTGAAATGCACATACAAGTTTACTGCAGCTGGTATTTTTAAACGGTTACTCATCTAGGTACTAACCAGGATCGACGTAGTTTAACTTTGGAGATTTCGAGAGTTACTACTAATTACACTGCATCCTATGGTTGATTTTTAAGTTAAGTATTCGAATGATTATTATTTTATTAGTTACAAGGTAAGCAAGTGGAGTATTTACTCTATGACCCCTATTTCAACTAAAGCTGTAATTAAAAAAAAGTAGCTTTCGACTGGAATTGAACTTGTATCATACAAAATTGAGATAAAATTAATTTCACTAATAACTAAGACAAACAATTAGAAAAAAGCATTTTATTGCGAGAAATTTTTTCACAACAACCAAGAATTTTTTAATGCAAGAATACATTTTTGCACAAAATACTACATGCATGGAACCAGATTTTATACATCTATAGGCAGTAGTTAGAAAACCACCACTGAAAATATATGCACCTTTTTGTATTCAAGAAAGTAGAGTAAAAAAAAAAATAAAAAAAATAATAAAAACAAAGAAAAAAAAACTATTTTATTTCACTTTTTTTTACCTGTCAGTATCTATCTATATATCTATATATCTATCTATCTATATATATATATATATATATATATATATATATAAGGTTTATGATTTTTCGCAAAATAACTGATTTCCTGTATCATAATTCGATGAATATTTGTTAACTAATGAAGAAATTTTTAATTTTATTTATTTAAAAAATGTCGCCCAACACCAAATTTCCAAAATGCTATATAAGTATAGTAGTATTATGACTTTCTGGCATTTTCTAGAACTTATATATATATATATATATATATATATATATATATATATATATATATATATATATGTTTATAATGAAATGGATTAAATCCAGCAGTTATTTTAATATATTTTCTGTTCATACGATATTTTTATAGATACAGATATTTAAGTAAATCCTTTATATAATAAGCAGTATTAACTACATTTACCGGTCAGAATTTTCGAGAAGTTTCATAGAAAATATGTGTCCACCGACAAGAATCGAACCTGTTTCCTACACGGAATCTTCATATAGCCTTACGTGCTATAACATTTAGCTACAGAGGAAGCGTCTGGTTTGCAAATTCAAATTGCAAAAAAAATTCCCATGATCATTCTCGAAATCTTGAAGCGTATCTTAACGTAAAAAAATGACATTATATGTTATGAAATAGACTAAATCCGACAAATTCGAGCCTGTAGGATACAGGCCCGATTTTGTTGGATTTAGTCTATTTCATAACACGGAACCGTTATATAGTCTGATGTGCTATACTATTTCTAAGAAATTTCTCGAACATTCAGGTCAGTAAATTTAGTTAATATTGTTTATTATAAACAGAGTATTTACTTAAATATTTGTATCTATAAAAATAAAGTATACCAAACGCAAAAGTTGAACAGATATCCTAATTAAATACTAATTGAATTGGGAATATTTTCTGGAAGTAATACTTCATATGGAAATCTCAAGTTGTTTCTTTCTGTGATCTTTATAGATGCTGCCTTGAGGTCGTCTTGAAATCTGGTTTTAAAAAAAAAAGAAAATCAGAATTATAAGAAAAGCGATGACACGGAAGACATTGTGATATTAAGAAACCATTTTTAAGAGTACATTCAGATACAAGACAATATTATGAACAACAGAGGACTAGGCACATAATATAACGGTTAGTAAAATAATAAAACTAAGGAATTAAAATCATTCAATCCTTTCCAGATCAATTTCTAATCGTTTCTTAAGACTTATTTTCCACTGTTAATTTTGTTTATATTGAATTCTGTATTTTATATTATACGTATTTTTCTTGAATGTAAACACTGAAAATATGTGAAATATTATGCAATTCTACAAATATGTCTTTTCCTTTGCATTATATTTCAAATATATTTCGTATTTCTCAGCCGTTTTGTGGCATTTGTTTTCCAATCATGAGTAAAAATAACTACCAATAGTCTGAGTATAATCCTACCAGAATATATATAAGATCAGTGCGGATAGAGAGTACAATAGCGAATGGCAACAGTCTGTTTTATACTTGAACGAAATCTTAAAAACTATATTGTATCACACACACACACACACACACACACACATATATATATATATACGCCAGCTAGATGTTTTCCATAAAAGTTGTCTGCGTGCAATCTGTGGAGTTAACTTTCAAGATAGGACATCAAACGGAGACCTGTTTAACAGGTGTAATATTGGAGGAATCGAGACTTTTATCATACAGTCTCAGTTACGCTGGACTAGTCATGTCTTGAGAATGTCTGATGACAGGATACCCAAGATCCTAATGTACAGCCAATTAGATCAGGGCTACAGGAATGTACAATGCCCATGGCTAAGATACAAAGACAAGCTGAAAAGCAACTTGTCAGTAGTCAATATACCGCATAACACCCTTGAGCGCTTAGCCTTGGAGTGAGTAGAATGGAGATCAACGTGTTTTAGTGGACTCAGAACTTTTCAATCTGCTTGTCTGAATCATCTTGAAGAAGCGATCTAAAAGGTCAGCCAACCTAACAGTGATCTCACCTCACAACCCTCACACTTGCTCCATATGCGGCCTCCTTTGTAAATCGCTAGCGGGTCTTAAATGCCACTTAAGAATATCGCACAAAATTTCATAACTGAAACAAGTAAGCTGTCAGATCCTCATACGTCGAAACCGACGGGAGAGTCCATTATTATTATTATTATATATGTATATATAATGTATAGTAAAGCAAATAAGGATGCTATACGAACAATGATTGAACTAAAATATTGTTATAAAGGAACACACCTATTCTATAGTTAATAGACTCTCCCACCTATAATAAGTAGGAGTAGTAAGAGTAACGAGGGAGTGGGTCAGGGGCTCAGTCAGTCAGTCGATGTTGGACGACAGTTAGTCAAATACTAAAGTATCAGCGACTACAACTAGATTACTCTGCGTCATACCTATTATATCAAGTTCCTAACGTTTTGTACGTCTAACCTATTTTAGGACCGACTTAGTACAAATACAAGCCTCCACTGTGAAATCACTCCACAACAATTATTTTGCGACGAGGGATTTGGATTCATACGGTGGAAGAAAAAAAAAATTTCGTACGCCACAGTATTATTTGGCGACGAAGATTCGGATTCATACGGTGGAAGAAAGAAAAAAAGTTCGCTCGCCACAATATTATTTGGTGACGAAATTCGTACTCATACGGAGGAAAAAGAAAAAAAACTTGCTCCTCACAATAATTTCGGCGACAAAATCTCGGATTCACACTTGAAAAAAAAAAAAAAAAAAAAACATGGCAAAGTTTTTCGAAAGACAAGACGTCAAATTAGTGACGAAAAATCTGTCGTATTCTCAACTGAGAAAAGATTTTTTTATCGATAATACAGTTTGCTCAAATAGGTCACGAAATGAAAATTCATTTCCCCTCCTCTACAGTATTTAGGCATTGTGTAAATTTTTGCGAAGATGGAAGAATGCAAAAATATATTCCAGGAATTTTTTAAGTTCCAGTCGGAACAACAGATGACAATATTAGAGCAACAGAGAACATTCCAGATGCAGCTACAGGAGGAAACTTTTAATAGACAAATGCAATTTCAACAAAAAATGGAACAGATGCATAGGGAGTTTCAAAACAAAATTCTGGAAATAACTGAGAAGAGGAAAGAAAAAATCTACAAAATGATTCTTTCCCAGAGAATACAATATGGAATTCAATTGAAAGATTCACATACAGTCCAGATGAAGAGATAACTTTTGAGGAGTATTATAAAAAATATATGGACGTGTATAACGAGGACTGCCACTTGTGGTCTGAAGGAAAGAAGGTTAGGCTTCTTTTAAGCAAATTAGGAACTGCTAAGCATAACAAATTGGTAAACTACGTTTTACCGAAAAAAACTAGCGAGTTGACATTTACCGAGGCGGCAAATATATTAAGTGAATTATTTAGTAAAAAGACATCTTTGTTTCACAAGAGGTGGAAATGTTTGAATCTGATGAAAGATGACGAACAAGACTATATAACGTACGCAGCCAATGTGAATAAGCATTGTGAAGAATTCAAGCTGGCAGAGTTAAGCGCTGACAATTTTAAGTGCTTGGTGTTTGTTCAGGGACTGGTATCGGAAAGTGACGCAGAGCTGAGAAAATTAGAACTGGCAAAATTGGAAACCGAGCCGAGTGTTACGGTACACAAGTTGGCAGAAGACTGCACAAGATATGTTAGCGTAAAGAAAGATTAAAATGAGATAGAACAGTCTGGTGTTTCGCATGTAAGGAAAATACACTACAAAAAAGAAAGTCAGTCTACCAAAAAGAATTCTAAAATTGTGGATTATCAAGCAAAAAATGAAATACCAGAGAAAAATAAACAAAAACTCCCGAAGCCATGTTTTGCTTGCGGTGAACTACACTGGTACAGATATTGCAATTTTAGGAATAAAAAATGTTTCAACTGTAAAAGAGTTGGTCATAAAAGCTCGCACTGCAGGTCAAAAAATAAAGACAATAAAATAAGAAACTTAAAGTCCAACGAGGTGAACGATGGAATAACCAGAAAATTTGTTACTGTCAAAATAAGTAATAAAAACAAATAAACATGTAACTCGACACTGGTTCCGACCTATCTATCGTAAATTTGCATACGTGGAAGAAGTTTGGGAAACCAACGTTAATGAAGACAAAGAAAATCGCGAGGTCAGTGACTGGAGAAAAAATACAATTTATAGGAGAATTTGTTACAAACGTCACGTTAAATAAAAAAAAAAACGCGAAAAGCTAAACTATTTGTCATAGAAAATACCACGAACTTACTTGGTACGAATTGGATAACAGAATTCCAATTATCGGATCTACCGATAAATTCTTTCTGTTACAAGGTAGCAAGTTTAAACTATGAAGCCAAAAATTAGTAAAGAAACTTAAGGGAACATTTCCTACTGTTTTTTTTCTCCAGGGTTGGGAACGTGTACCAAGATGGAGGCAAAATTACAGCTAAAAGAAAACGCTCAGGCGGTATTCAAAAAGAAAAGGAATGTGCTGTTTGCTTCAATTGAACAGATAGATAATGAATTGGACAGATTAGCGAAAACCGGTGTATTTAAAAAAGTTGAATGGGTAACACCGACGATATACGTGAAAAAAAACCCCAGAAAGTAAAGATGAAGCCGACACCGAGAAAAACTAGGGAGCGTGTTACCCGCAGCCAAGGACATGCAGTATTATTAAATGATTTAAGTCAACTGAAGTCACCACAGAAAACGTTAAGAAGCACAAGATCAACAAAAGGGAAGCTAGAGGTTGAACAATTAGAACCACAAGAAGAACCTACAGAAACTTTGACACCATCCTTAAGAAGCTCAAAGCGGAAGGTTGTTTCTGGTAACATTATGGAGGTACCAACAAATAGAAAAGCGGATTGGCTATATGATGTACTTGGTGAAAGGCGAAAAATTCACATGCAGTAACCAGATCAGACGACGTTTTTCAGACGTGGGTGACAGCGGTCCCGCGGAAGAAACGCTGATGGAAGTGATTTTGAATACGTTTGATTTAACAACGCCTGCAACGATTTTATCTGAGTTACGCCGATCCAGGAGAAAAAGAGAGGCAACAGATCATTTAAAAGTGGATCTAAAACGTCGGAGATACGCTAGAATGTTGCTAAAAAAATGAAGTTTTTTCTTGTTTTTTTCTTCATATTTCCTGTAAAAAAAAAAATCAATAAATAAAACTGTTTACTCCTACGGAGTAAAGTTTTAGGAGGGGCTGTTATAGGGGAACACACCTATTCTATTGTTAATAGACTCTCCCACCTATAATAAGTAGGAGTAGTAAGAGTAACGAGGTAGTGGGTCAGGGGCTCAGTCAGTCAGTCGATGTCGGACGACAGTTAGTCAAACACTAAAGTATCAGCGACCACAACTAGATTACTCTGCATCATACCTATTATATCAAGTTCCTAACGTTTTGTACGTCTAACCTATTTTAGGACCGACTTAGTACAAATACAAGCCTCCACTGTGAAATCACTCCACAACAAATATAAAAAAATATAGAGACAGAGTCAATCTAAAAATATAAAGAAACAATATTAAAATATTGCTGACTTTTCGCAACTTAAAATTTCATGTGGACACCAAGCTTGTTATACGCATGTCTCACAATCTTCAAGCGATACAAGGGGCAAGATTCTCAATTCTTTATTTGGATGTGCCTTGAGGTATCTATCATATAACGAGTGAAAATGCCGGCTTTTATCCACAAAGTGCACAATTTTCAATAGTTCGTTTAGAATCTTCACTCCAATGGGCGCCATGAAAAAACAAAACACACAATAAATTCTAATCAGCATGCCGATAACAGAAGTTACGTGAATAGGAGTAGCACGTCTAATAAATGAGTTTAAAAAAATGACTGATACTCGAGCAGTAGTGGGCAATTGCTTTTTCTCGGGTGCTACTTTTAGGGCGCTGTGGTTATCGGAGGGTCGCATCTTCTAAAATATATTCATTACTTAACATTACATTTCTATTAATGCGAAGTGAAAATTGCATAACAATGTATATAATAATTGCGAATATCGGTGTATCATTGTGTCACACTTCTTCAAATTTAATCCTAGAGATCAGAGCCCAACACATCATACGATTCTGAAATCAGGCCGACTCCGTGAGCAAATTAAAAATATTCCGGGCCGGATCCGAACGCGCAATCCTGAAATCTTGGATTTCCAAGTTTTCATTACTGCGATTCCGACATGATGGCTTATACTGATAAAAACAATTAAAGGGACACAACTCTCCAACTTTCAAAAGGTCATGTTCAAATGAAAAGAATACGGTTCTCAAATTAGAGCGTTTTAAAATAAAATTGTCCGTGATTTCAACTTTACTTCTGGAGGCCGTAGCCCAACATACCATTTTGGAATAAAAGCGACTCTCTAAGTAAATTAAAACCATTCCGGGTCTGATGCCTGTGATCCTGAAATTCTGGATTCCAAAATTTTCATTATTGGGATTGTTTTCGGCGATATTTTTACTTGATTTTTTTGACGAATTTTTTTGTACGATAACAATTTTTATAATTTGGAAATAAATTTGGGAATAATCAAAATTAATTGCGAAATATTGTGAAAGTCACCCACGAAATAAAAATAATTGTTTGTACGAAAAATAAGGACCTACGTACATCAAACTGTCTTTAAATTAAGTGGGAGCAAAACAATTATCGTTGAACTTTTAAAAGGTAAGCTTAAATATTAATGCAGTATTTAAATGAAGTGATCAATTATGAGTTCTCTAATTTATTGTTGCCCATCATATCTGCTCCTCCCTACCAATTGTGATGAAGGTCCATTCAAGAGCCCTCTGCAATCGCGTCTTTTAATCTAGTAATAAATCAAGCTAAAACAATAGTGTTGCATGGAAAAGGTTTCATTAAATTTATTGATGTGCAAATTATACATCAACCAGCGCAAGTAATTTCATGAGAGAAATGTAAACGCTCAAACTATTTTTACAATTATTTTGAAATCGGGAAATAGGTTGCTTGTTGCGATCCTCATCACTGCCTGCAAGTTTATGTCAGTCACAGAGGATCTATTTTGATTCTTGCTGATTTTTATGCAAGAAAAACTTTGCCCACAAATATATGCGGATTGAAAAATAGAAAACCTTTTACCAGCAAATTTCTTCACACACGGAAATTTGTCAGTAGATAGAGATTTGTAAAATTCTATCAATGTCATAGGATTAAACATTTCTTTCAAAGTGTGATTTGATTGCATATCAATTAGTTCAAGCTGCACCTCCTCATGCACTGTATCAATATCAACATTGAAAGGATAAGATAAAAAAATTGAATTCAGGCACAATTTTCTTGAAGTTCTGAAATCTTTCATTTCTTTCTTTATCCTTCAAACTCAGCAAATGGATCTTAATTTTTGCAAGATTACTTGCAGTCACTTTCTGTTTTGCTAAAATAAGGCTGCTCAATGAATAAGATTTGTTAGATCACAATAAATACGAAAAACAGATAAAAGTGTATATAACACCATAATACTGCTGGACACAAATTATATGATAAAATATTTTAAATTTGCATTGTTTATTAAAAATCATACTAAAACTAATGTATTGTATTACATATTACATCATACTATAAGTAAGCTTTTTCCGGAGGTAAGTTTCTTTGACACAAGGGAAGCAAGTCTCAGCTCAAGTTAGCCTCGACACACGCAGTTCACCGTGATCAGTTTACGAAAAGTTTTAATTTAGAAGATTTTTTTCCGAATGCTTCCGTGGGCCACAAAAAAATTTGTCGCGGACAGCGGCACGTTAATCACCCATCCCTGTATTAGGGTATGATCCAAATTGTCATGAAGACAGAGTTGCGATACTAGACTAGACCCCGGAGATGAGGTAAAGGAACAACTCCAGTCAAGAAACATGTTGATCCGAGTTATTAGGGAAACGAGTAAAGAAATCATTATTTGATTAGGAAATTGAGAAATAGAAAAATTAAAAGTCTGAACACTGACAACACAAGATTAAAGGTTACACTGACAACACAAGATTAAAGGTTAAGACATACGAAAAAATTGTACTAATGTGTTGGTTTTTTCTCGACTTTTTATATAGAAATAATATAAATAAATTAATAAGTAAAATAAATTAATCCAAACAAATAAACAAATTAACAAACCGCTCCCGTTAGAAAAAATAAAAATAACAAATGAATAAGTAAAAGCAAGTAAAAATAATCAATTCAAATAAATAAATAATATAATAAACAAATTAACAAACCACTCCCGCGAAAATAACAATTAGAATAGACTACAATCTATCCAAAATAATGGACGAAAAAATAGCTTTAATTACCTTCCCAGATCAAAACAAACTATTAAATAAACGATCAAAATATTAAATTTTGTTACGACGTTACTAAAACATCGAAAAGCGAAAAGTATAAGTAAATATATAAAATAGAAAAACAAGCAAAATAAATGCAAATAAATAAACAAACCACTCCCAAAATAACCGTTAGAATGGCTCACCACGTATGCAAGATTGACCCATATATATAAGCAGTTGAGAAAAACACAACACATATAGCCTGATGATTGCGTCAAGCATGAAACAGTCTGTCGCCTCTGAGTTTTGTCTTCAATGTTCCCTTTAATATTTACATCCGCTCTATCCCTGATATTGAGCACATTATTTCATAAATATAACACACCTTAAAACTATATTTCTTTTTATATATATATATATATTATTCGGACTATTGTCCTCATCTTTGTCGCCATATTTATCACAACGTTTCGGCCGTTTCTTCAGGCGGTTGGAATTTCGAACTGAACCCTTTATTTCGCTCACTGGGGTAGACTGTTTGATGGATGTCAGTTATCAGTTATCTCCTGCTAATTTCCCTCTGAAAGTTCTCCACTGCCTTAACCGGGTATTGAACTCACACTATTTGGGTCCTGTCACTGGATCTAGCCAATGCCTTTATCCATTGTGCCATGTATCCTTGAGAACATCTGAGTATGAATTTCTGGGTATTATAAACCTAATGTCTTCAGCAACCATTTTTACCAGTGCTCATATTGCAATTTTGCTGTTATCATCTATGTTTTTACCAAAGCTCATATTGCAACTTTTTGTTATCATTGCTTTTCTCTGGCACTCCTTATTACTGGTTCCCATATTGTATTTATTTCTATGCTTGGTCGGCTCAGGAGATTTTTGTGGCCTAGCATATGTGCTGATTTCTTAAATTTACGAATTTTCCAATGGTGTCTATGATCTCAGTATGATCCCACAGAGGGCGGTGATCTCCCTTCTCTCTCCATATGTGGTCAGCACGCTTGATTTTTCTACTTCCTCTCATGTTACAGCTTTCTGGTGTTCTTGAAGCCTTACCTTGAGGGGTCGACCTGTCCCTCCTTTATATTCCTTTCCGCAGCTGCACGGGATAGCGTACACACAGTCTTTAGTCATGTTCTCCTCTATGGGGGGGGGTCTCACTCGGGAGAGATATCTGCGAAGTGTCGTCAAGCTTTTGAACGTTGTCGTGATGTTATATGGACCGCAGATCCTTTGTATTTTCTCTGATAACCCCTTCACATAAGGCAGGCAGACTGTTTTCTGAGTGTTGTTGTTCTCCTCCTCTTGTATCTGCCTATCCCAGTTTTTTGGGACTGCTGCCATGTACCCAGGGGACTTGTTACGTTGTAGGGTACTACTTATACTGACCAATTCTTTATCTAACGTCTCTGGGTCGCCACTTTTGCTAGGTGTTGTAAGCAACGGACGATCCCTTTCTTTACGCTGTATGGATGGTGGGAGTTGAAATTGAGGTAATGTCCGGTGAATGTCGGTTTACGGCATACGGGTGTCTTAAACCCATGCTCTGTTCGAGATATTAGAACATCCAGGAATGGGAGTGTGTTGTTACTCTCTTTCTCCATTGTAAACTGTATCGAAGGTCTTATTGAGTTCACATGGTCCAGTAGAACCTGAACATCTTCCTGGTGTGACCAGAGTATGAAGGTGTCATCTACGTACCTTAAACCATATAGTTGGCTTAGAATATTCAACCAAACATGCTTGAATGAAAATATGGCTATATATATATATATATATATATATATATATATATATATATATATATTCAAAAAAATTGGTGTATTTTTTGTATTTATCACTCCGGCAGAGGTTTTTTTTTATTTAAATGTTATTTTTTAGTGGATTCTTGTATTTGAGTAGACGCCCCATTTATTTATTAAACTACATATTTATTTATTATTTGTCTACCGGCCTGAATATTCCATAAATCTTATTAAACAAACATTATGCGATCTCCGGCAATATCCAAACCTGCGTCCCCCGTGGGCAGAAAACCATATTCGTCGTGAGATCCTACGTGCTTTACACCCCTGGATCGGGAAAGTCTTTGCGTTAATAAGGCACAATTAAACTTTGCTTGTTCATCGACGCACTTCGTAGCGGAGAGGTTTAAAGCAGGTCGGATCCTACGTGGATCCCTGTGCATATTAATGCAGATAGTGTCAGAAATTCAGTCCAATTCTGTCATTTTCACTTCATTTTTTAAATAAACGCCTAAATAAATAAAAAATAAAAATAAAATCAATGATTAAATTTTTGTTTTGGGGAGACGCCTGGATGAGTTTAAACATGAGGAAAACGTATACTCAATGAATTGATTAATTCCATCTTCGGGGCCTAAATGGCTGCGAAGCAAAAATTGTACTTACAAAGAGAAAGAGTTGCAACTTACTTGGCCAAAACATTCAGTGCTTTTGGATCATATATATACTGAGTCTCAAAGTCACCCAATGAGTTGGTTGTCTTTGCACTGAGCAAATAGGTAACCGTCATTACATTTAGGGTGACATTTCGGTCGGAGAGAGACTGGAAAACATCTTTTTCTGTCCTGGGTTTCTGCGAAAAGTTCATAAAGAGATCATTAGTAGAACCATGATAATATGGACTTAATCAAGCAGTTTTTATTTCCGCTCCGGTCCGGCAAAAAATAAATAAATAAATAAATAAATAAAAAAATAAAAATAAAATAAAATAAAAATCTGGTAAATTTGTATATAATTTATAGATACATTTTCTGTTTCTTTATTTTTAAATTTAAATAAAATTTAAGATTAAAATCTATAACTTATAAATGTGAGCGGTAGCAGACATGCAATCAATGATTTTAGTAAAAAAATTGATATCATAAAATACTTTTGGTTTCTATTAAATTGAGAGAATAAATCTGAGTTAGATATTACCAAAAAATCAGTTTTTAACAGTTGATAATAAAAATACCGACTTATTCTAAAGGAAGCTGCCGATACCGTCAGAGGAAGTGGTCAAAAACGATTTTCTGCTCTGGTCATTAAAAGACTTCGGGAAAGATCATCAGGGCAAATGATTCGGGCAAGCTTAACGCGTTGACTGCCAGTGGTCAATTTAGTTGTTAACACGTTGACTGCCAGTGGTCAAAATCCGACTGCGAAATCCAGTGACTTCGGGCAAGCTTAACGCGTTGACTGCCAGTGTTCAATTGCGAAATCCGACTTCGGGCAAGCTTAACGCGTTGACTGCCAGTGGTCAATTGCGAAATCCGAGTTCGGGCAAGCTTAACACGTTGACTGCCAGTGGTCAATTGCGAAATCCGAGTTCGGCCAAGCTTAACGCGTTGACTGCCAGTGTTCAATTGCGAAATCCGACTTCGGGCAAGCTTAACGCGTTCACTGCCAGTGGTCAATTGCGAAATCCGAGTTCGGCCAAGCTTAACGCGTTGACTGCCAGTGGTCAATTGCGAAATCCGAGTTCGGGCAAGCTTAACGCGTTCACTGCCAGTGGTCAATTGCGAAATCCGAGTTCGGGCAAGCTTAACGCGTTCACTGCCAGTGGTCAATTGCGAAATCCGAGTTCGGGCAAGCTTAATGCGTTGATTACCAGTGGTCAATTGCGAAATGCGAGTTCGGGCAAGCTTAACGCGTTGACTGCCAGTGGTCAATTGCGAAATTCGACTTCGGACAAGATTAACAATGGATAAGTATGACTATACCAGAATTGCTAATGGCTACCGTTGATGGACCGTTGTGGAGGAGATTTAATATCATTTCTGCATTCGGATCCCCACCCTACACGATTACAAAAGTCAAAAGGAAGATGATGATGATGATGATGATAGGTTTATCCCTTGTTTTTTGTTTAGGATTGGGTTTCTGGTTCTCTCTAGAGTATTTTCCTACTTCTTCACATCCGGTGGCCTGCTTGCATCTTGGTGACATTATCACCTTGCTTGGGGTGGTGACTCTTACTCTGCAACCCTCTACCTCGAGTGGCTCTTGAGCCTTGTACAGGGTGAACATCATTACAAAAAACAAAGGAAGAAATGAAATCAAATCACCTTGTCTTTGATAACTTCTCCTCGGATCTGTGATGGATAATTGGGCGGATAAGCGTATTCGGAATATTGCAGGAAGTTAGCAGCGGCATGGCCTGCGCTGCACGTGTACAAGATAGAAGATAGCACTATTACTAAATCATCAATGCTATTAAATCCTGCTTTGCCGTCTCTTTCAGGGACACCCTGAAATAAAAAAGAGCGCGAAATTAAAGCAAGGTAAAAGAAATGTTCTGTCACATGCAAGGGCGTCAGTCAAATGACAAATGGATTTAATAGATACATATTTAAAGTTTATAAGAAAAATTGTTATAGAATAAAATGTGAGACACGCATAAAATTAGATTTAAGAGAGAGATGGCAGAGACCGCCTTCTTTTAATGAGTAAAAGTCAAATGGTTGACCCTAGACATGAACATGTTAAGATTGTAGTGTACAGCAAAACAGCCTTTTGGGAGTCGATTCTACAAAGCAGCGGTTCGTGGAAAGAAGCTGCTCGAGTGGAACTAACATCTCACCAATGGAATACGAAAGGAATGAGGCTGGTTTGCTACAATGTGCGTAGATTAGTGGGTCTTAGCCGAGAATGTCAGAACTGGTGGTACCGAGTAAAATAGTTTGTCCAAACATTTTCTATGGAAATAGCGATAGAGTATCGAGAGGCTTGCGACATTGTCGATTCTGACAATTTTGAAGCATTTTAATCTAGGCATGAAAGCAACTGAAAATGTTTGCAAAACTCAAGAAAGAAATGAAATTTTCTCATACCAGCCCCAAATGACTTAAACATTTTAAGGGTGGAAACTTCTTCCTTAAAATAAACAACAAAAAAGGGATCGTCATCAGTTGCCGATTATGATAATTTAAAATTCTAAGTAGACAACAAACAGAACAGGTCGAATCACCAAAATAGAAATTATCGAACAGCCTCAATGTGTTATTTAAGGTCGACGAGTTTTTTTTTTCCTGGTAATATTTTGTTTTGTCAAAATCTATTTCGCATATTTTTTTTCGGTAATTTAAAAAAAAAAACGTATTGTTGGTAATAGGTTTTTTTTAAAAAAAATAATTTTTTATTTCTGGTGTTAAAACCTATTTTTACACTTTTTATAATGCTTTTCACCCCAGTTTCAAGTTCTTTTTTCAGTTGGGATCAGGTGGACATGGGAAGTCCTTCCTAATCAGGATGTTGGCGATCATGGGAGAGAGACCACATATTGGGCATAACACAAGGGTCATACAAGAGCAACTCCCCATTCTTACAGTTGGTAAGTCCTTTTAATGTTTCATGGCTCTCCATTCCTACTTAAGTAACTTCGGTCATTTACCCACATTTAAACTAAGTAAGCTACTCACTGTGGGTATTAAATTCTCTAGGTCATCTTTCTTCATTTTGTGTCCTAGAACTTTAAACTGTCTCCTTCTGATAGTAAATCAGTTTCATTATTGTTCCTGCTTTTCCTAAAACTTCCTCATTACTCACGTGTTCTGTCGATTGTATTTGCTAGCATTCATCAGTAGGACCTCGTCACAGATCACTTCATATGCGAGGAAAGTGTCAACCATTCACTGCCATATAGGATACTTGAATTATTTGAAATCCTCACCGTGTTTAATATTGTTGAAGTTACCGTTAACATTTTTGTGTGGATATAAAAACTCTTCGTTTCGTTCAATTTCGCAAACCAAACGATGAAATTTGAATAAAGCTGATTTGTTTGGAAAAAATACTTTGACAAAACCCTACTTCGCGGGTTAATAATTTCTTTAATTTTATAGGATTTCATGATAAATAATATTTTTTACAAATTGTTTCCCTTTTTAATAGCGAAAAATACATTCTTAGGATTTTTTACTCGTGAGCATGCAATATACAACTGACTATGCGTAAATATTTCTTTCTAGAGTCAAATTCTAACATTTTGAAGCATTTAACATTGTGATTTGCTTATAGATTTCGCAAATGCAGGGCGAACTGCAAACTGATTTCTTGTGTATAAAAACTCAAAGAAAAGATATTCAAAAAACAATATTGCATTTTTATTAAATAATTATTTGTTATTTTAATAATTAAATTGATTTTAAAAATAGTGGGAATATTTTGGATGTTAAATAATAAAACTTTTAATCCTCCCCACTAAAAAAAATGATTGAAAATTTATTCTACTAAATTTATTCTACTAAATTTATTCTACTAAATTTATTCTACTAAACTACGCACGCTCGTAAAACCAACTGTAATCCCCCCCAACCGCTTACCTGTTTGTACTTCTCCCCAGAATATGGTTTCGATCAGTCAATGTATGGCTATTTTAGAAGGTGTGACGGACGAACAAACAGAAGTCACTAATATATTACATAGCAGTTTAGCACATTTATTTCTGTGATTTTCTCAGTTGTAATAATCTTCTTAGTTTCTTGAAGCATTCAAATTAAGGGCTTTCGGATTTTTGCATTACATCTTTCCGTCAGCTGTTATCATACTTCGCAGGATTAAATTTTCTTGTATCGCATTAAGAAAAAAAGAAACGAAAATCTTTTTGATACACCTGAATAGTTTTCAGCTTTGTTGTGTATTAGTCATTTAATGAATTTTCTTGACTAACTTGCATTACAGTACAGAAGAGTAATAGAAAGAAACTTACTGCCAAGCCAATCCCGCCTTCGGATTTCTTTCTGGCCAATTCTTGTGCCCAGTTTTGAATTTCCCAGTCATCTAATAACATATTGTCATTATCTGGAATAAATATTTTATTTATTATTAACATTGACATCATCATCATCATCATTAACAACATCTTTACTAATATCAACATCATCATCAGTATAATTTTTAACATCAACATCATCATTAACAACATCAGCATCATAATCTATATTAATAATGACATCATAATCCATGTTAATAACATCATCATCTACATTAATAACAATGGCAACAACAACAATAATAAAACAAAAACAAACGAGTGAAATTTTGCAAAAAGGGGTGACTTTACTGATTTTATTTCATGTTTACTCAGTAACTCTTTTCAAGCATCCTATGAAAGAAATCATTTTAGGTATAATACCCGTTTTACTAACAGTAGCGAAATTGAATGCGAAATATAAAGGCAAAATAGCCTAAGCCTTTTTCATTATAATCTAATTCATAATGCAGATTGAATTAGCTCTTCCGTCCGTCGCAGTACAAAGAAAAAGTTAGAATTTTTTTTATTATTATAGGTACGTTTATTTTAAACACAAATTTTTAAAAAAATCAGTAATCCCCATATAATATATAGACTGTGTCAAAATTACCTGAATATTACGTCGAGCAAACTCCGAGTTAACCAGATATATTTATTAAAATTTAAATTATGTAACGATCATCTCAATTCAACACCTGAAGATTACGTTATGCATGAAACTCCGAGTTGTGCTACCTGTAAGAAATAATGTATATTTAATAATATATACTTAATAGCTCTGATATATTACGCTGGGCAATAAACATATTAAAACACTAGTACTCAATGTATGATATCATATATATATATATATATATATATATATATATATATATATATATATATTAAAATACTGAAAAATAAAAGTAAGATTTATAATCCGTTTTCTTATTATTTTATTTTAAAAAACAGTATACAATACAATTCTTTATCAGAACAAAAACATTATGAAACAATATATATATATATATATATATATATATATATATATATATATATATATATATATATATATATATATGTTTATTTTTAACTATTAGGATGTACATTGCAATTTTTTCAGAACTATACTTTTACCTCCGGAACTTCCGGGGTAAAGTTGGCCCAGTGTGTGTGTGTGTGCATTTTAACTGACCAAAGGATGCACAAAGTTTTAGATCTAAACTGATCTGCCTGTTGTTAAAAAATCTGAAGTCTGATTTTCTTCAAGCAAACTTATTTCTCCATGGTGGGTTTATTCTTTAGACCTATTACAAAAGATAGTGATATATAAGATAAATGATTTTGTTTTATCTCCGAAAGAGAGAGATTGGAGGGTCCCTCCCTCCCTATTCGCGACGTGTTTGTGAGAGAGAGGAAATTGAGTATCGGGCAGCTCCCGCCCAAATGTGGCACTCCATTTTCGGCCAGATCTGGCTGAAACATACTATTGTTAAAATGAAACCGTTTTCTTCACAATGGGTACTCTTGTTTATCATTTAGACCTTATACAAAAGAGGATGATATAGCCTCTTTTGGGGTCTTATGCACTGAAAATGCGTTAGATGTGCTTTAGGATCGTTTCCTTAATAGGTTTCTTATATTTAATAAAAATCATTGTAATAAAGAATGAACAAGTTCTTACCATAGTAAAGGTTTACATAGTTTGTCACATAAGTGCGGATAATATCGTAGATGAGCAATGAATCATCTCTGAAATGGTAATTGGGAAGGACTTTTGGATCTTCAACCTGTTACCAAATTAAAGAAAAATAAACAATCATCAATAATTGTTAAGCAATACATTATATGACATTCTTTCGACATATATCTAAGAAGAAGGATATTAAGCTGAAATTATAAAATACTCAGGATAAATGAGAAGAGATATATGAAATTGGAGTAGCATGATTCTTCGACTTCAGTCCAGATAGCAGGGCCCACAATACCGTGCTAGTAATCAAGACCCTGAATTTTTTTTAAAACAAGTATTCAATTAGTCAGGACCTATAATATTACAGACGGTTTTTTAAAATTCTTTTAAGAATATTGAGCTATATAGCAGGAGCTATGATGTTATCGGACCTAACCTTGCATCTTGGATAATACATAAGTTGCCATAGATAATTTTATCTTGAAGAATATTGTTTCTAGCAAAGACTTTTTTGTTTAAATTTTTAGACGTGTAAAAACATATATACACGTCAACGTCGGGAAAGTGGTTAAACTCAACTCTCCGGTCAGAGACCAAGATCTTAGCCATGTCATTCGAGGCGGCCCAAGTCATGCCTTTCTTGATATTAAAAGTCTTTTCAGAAGATAAAATATTAGACGTCGGAGATTTGTAGTCATTCACTTGATTGAGAATTGTATTACTGGAAAAACGGTTTGCTCTGGAAATCGAACATTTGAAAATTTGGCTTTTTACATGGACTTGAACCAATGAGGAGATACGCACATAGTCGACCATGATTCAGTTATATTATCTAAATATTATAGGATTGATTCGTTTTATGCATCTTATCAATCTTCTGCAGATTATTTACAACCCCCAAAATATTTTTAGATTGTAAGAATTTTTTGCGATAATAATGGTTTAGTGATAAGAGCTGGATGGAAAAGAGCTAGACTCATACCTGACCTAAGAGGGGGCGGGTTGTGCCTCAGTGAATATAAAGAACGTAATGTGAATTGGAACTCGACTTTTCAATTAACTATTACGAACCATTACCAATTAGACTACTATAGTATAGAAGGACGACTGACTTTTTTACACTAATTGCTGAACATAGACTGGTCCATTCACTATGAGGAACAGAAATCCCAAAGTGGGTTGCAAGGCGTAGCGTTGAGTCATACGCATTGCCGCAATAAACTACAGTATTCGCTATTTTTGTATCATTAATCGATGTCCCTTGTGTGATAAAATCTTTTATTCACTAATCTTTTGTTTCAGTGTTTTCCTTACAATATTATTAATCAGAAACTACGAACTTATACGAGCATTATAACAACTACCCACACCACCAAGCTTGTATTCTTAATTGGTCACCCATCTCTGTACTGACCAGATTCAACGGTGCTTAAATTAGGTGATTTTACTGGAAGCAGTGTTTCAACGTGACGTGATGTCACCGTGAGCATAAATATTATATGGATATTTACTAATACTATTTTTATATGGCATAAACGTTGCATGCTATGAGGAAGTTTGTGAATCGAACTGTTTTGAAAAAGAAAGTCAACATTTGGAATCTTGGTTTTTACTTGGGATCGAGCATGGATCATAGCGGTCGGCTGTAAATTTAGAACTCCTACATCCACCAAGGTATCCAAGAAATAGCGATAAGGGGAAGAATCCAATTTCTTATGTGTCCAATTATTTTATACCATTGGATTGTTTCCCCTCACGTATATTTAGACTTGTATGGCGTAAAAAAAAGATAGGTTTCTCTTCAATAGGGCTGAATAAGATAGCGAATAAATTATAACCAAGTTAGGGATTTTTCTTCTTACTGATATCATGTAACCCAGAATTATCTTTCGAGTGACAATGTTAATGTGACATCGGTGGGCGTATGACTTCCATGTCAGAAGCACCAGCAAGTGGGAGAAGGGTCAAGGTAAGCTACAAGGACCACATATTCATAATCAACGCAAACCACCTGGTGAGAGGAATTCGACAGTACTCAAGCCTGGAGAGGTTTCATCTCCACCATGTGTTTCCCGTCTAAATCACGCTGCATGAACGGCAAAATACCAATGATGTCGCCGGCTCGGTCGTCGCTGGTATAACAAAGATTGCGTTGGCCATCAGTCACTGGAGCAAAGACAACAAGTTTGCGACCGGTAGGAAGAGATAACAGGGAAAGCAGTAAACAGACAGTAGGAAACTCCTGCTCTTCCCCACTGTCATCGTCAGAAATGGAGTCCGTTTGTGATGAGATCAGTCGTGCAGAACCACATCAAGTTACGAGAGCAGTAACATTAATCAAAAAGGATTTTTCACTTTTTAGTTATTAGTGAATGCACTTACAGTTGAAATGTATTTACATTATTTACATTGTTCGAACTGTTGTCCTTATCTTTGTTGGCATGTTCTCCAAGGACACATGACCCAGTAGATAAAAGCATTGGTTGAATCCAGTGACTTGGCTCAAAGAGTTGTGAGTTCAATACTTGGCTACAGCGGAGGCAAAAAACAAAACAACAACTTGTAGGGTTGAGTTAAGAGAAGATAACTGATGCTGGGACACCTGGAAGTGGCATGGCACATGGAACTAGAATAATCTACACCGGTGGACGAAATAAAGGGTTGTTCGAAATTCCAATCACCTAAAGGAGGCTGGAGCGTACAACGACCGAAACATCGTGAAAATTGCAACAAAGATGAGGACAACAATCAAAACAATGCTAATAGTGTAAATAATTACAATACATCAACTCAGAAATATAGACAGATATTGTACTTACATTTCTTGATTTAAATTCTGCTGGCGGTGTTCCCTGTAAATCAAACCTCCATTTTTTTTGGCTAAATGGGAAAAAAACAAGAAGGCAATATATTAGCAATATATATTGTAAGGTTTTCATGATTTTCGTATTGACAAAACATTAAGATAGCATAACAAAATTATATATATATATATATATATATATATATATATATATATATATATATATATATATATATATCAGTTTTTATGATTTTATAGGTATTACTATTGAAATTACTACAATAGAAATCCTGCAGCCAGCTTGCTCGGTTCTATAAAAATAAATAGGTCTTATTAAATTAAGGTACATTTCAGTTTAAAGGTCAAGAATATGAAATGTTTAAAAAATCTGTATTTGAAATGTTGGCTTTCACTTGGGATCGAACACTGGTCATAGAGTTCGTTGGAAATATACAGCTGCTACATTTATTAGGAAATAGCGTTACAAGTAAGATTCTACATCCACTAAGTAGACGAAAGATCTTTAACGCTTTGTTTGCTGCATTGTTATCTGGCTGTTCTAACCCACTTTGGGAAAAGCTGCTGATTACTGGAAATAAATTACTATATAATGCTCAAGGCGATTTCTCAGTGCTGCCATTTTAGTTTCGATCAGATATTCTGCAGTATAAACTAAGCTAAACGACAAACCTAACGTACAGCGTAAAAACAAAGACGTCGCAGAACAGGTCGTACTGTATGCTGCTATATGGCTAGAATGTTGGAAATAGTACTAATCGCTATTTAATTTATAACAAAACTATTAACCGCCATTTCACAGTGTCTTGAAAACATATACATATACAGACATACATGTATTTATAAGCATAAAATATTACACAATGACTAATGTTATTAATAGACTGTCGCCTCTAAATGTTGACTTCTATGTTCACTTTTATATTTACACACCCTCTATCTCTGATATTGAGCACTTTATCCCATAAATATAGCACATCTTAAGACTATATTTCTTCATATATATATATATATATATATATATATATATATATATATATGGAATAATAGATTTGTTGATCTGAGTTCCAATTTTGGTCGGGTTCGTTATATTCACTTGCGTTCAAATACCGTTGGGAAAGTTATGAATCCATCTCTCATATGAGTAGGAAAGACTGGATCTTATAGACATGGGGTAGCAACCAGTTTCGGAGAAGGACAACACTGAATTCAAAACTCAAGGAGAGTTGTTTAGGGATTGCTGGGCATTAGTTCTCTGTATTCGGCTCTTCCAAAAACTGTGGCTGATTCTTTACAATCTTTCACCACTGTAATCATATATGTGCGGATAGTCTAGCCGTTCTTTTCTCAGAACTTTGCTATCAAGCTTGTATTCCTCCACCAACGTTTCTCTCCTCTTTATTACGTACATTTGGTATAGTATAAAGACCAGGTTATATGCTCTGTCCTAGTGTTATTAGTTGCTGATATTTCTGGCGCATCATGATCTTTCTGAATCAATGGCTCCCACATGGTATTTATAACTATGCTAGGCTTACTGAGGAGGCCACCATAGTCTAGCATATGCTTCGATTCCCACAGACGTTTGATTTTTCTATCTTCTCTTACCTAGTGGTTTTAATTCATTTGGCCAGTTTTGTTAAGCAACCTTTTCTCTCAATCCTTGATTAAATATGATAAATTTCATTGTCTCACTCCTAATTGCGGTTTTTCCTTCCCTACGTTTAGTGTCCGTGTATATTCTTTGCCACAAGGGATTAAATACTCACTGTTCTTGCTCGTTTCCCTCCGTATGAGGATTGATTCAGCAGAGATGTTTTCGTAATGTTGAATCTTATTTGAATATTGCCTCGATATTGTATAGAGCGCAGATGTTTTTAATCCTACCCAACGCACCCTCGACGAAAGGGAGACTGTAGCAATTTTTCGATCTTTTTTCGTCACTTGTCTCTACCTGCAGTAGCTGATATTACGCTTTTAACTGTGAAGATAATGTTGATTTCCTGGTGCTATGGGTTTTGGGTCGTCACTTATGATATTTGCACAGTGTTATTGATATTTACACTGTATATTAATGGTATTAGATGTTTCCTATTTAAAGAAAGAAACACTCGGCATTCATTGCCTGAGAAATCAATGCTACTTACGGTTGAAATTTATAAAATATTTTTCTTAAAACAATTTTTCAGGAAAATAGGTTTCTCAAATCCAGTAATTGTTATTGCTCTTTCCAGTATGGATGGCAGTTTTCTTCCTAACCTTTTTTTTGAAGCAGTGTAGAATGTCAACATCATTGTGAGAATTGAAGTTAAAAAAATGGAAAGGTTAAAAGAAAGAGAAGTGACGTCTTTAGCAAACGAGTTCATGTTTGTTTTAAAAGAAAACTTACCATCGACCTACCAACTCATACATCCCTTTGGCGCCAATGGCCATAGTTTTGTCAACCCATCCTCCATCCGATAATAAATAATTATGAGCAAGCCTGAAGAAAAAGAACGAAAGATTTGAAGCTTTCTAAAGAAATGCACCTCCAAGAAATTTCTTTTTCATATAACTATCGATTAAGTCTTTCAGATCGCAAATATATCTTTTTAAAATTTTCTAAATTTAAAGTATTGTTATGCAAATTTATTATAAATTGATCTCCCTTATGCAACCTCCTCACCAACAAAAATGTTTATACCACCTGATGTAGCATATTCTTATTTACAAAATATCAAAGTTAAAATAGGGTTTACGGCCATATCACGTTGAAACAGCAGTTCTCGTACGATCACCGAGGTCAGGAAACGTCGAGTTTGGTCATTATTAGATGGGTGACGGTTTCAGAATATCTGGTACTGTAAGCTTAGGTATACGTGTGGTATAATGAATAATGGCTCGAAATTGGAATAGAAGAGCTGAGTTTCAGTTGTGATCACGTTGTTGAAAAAGGGCAAGGGTGTTGGGGGGAAAACTTTATGATTACAGGCCCATAGCTAAATACAGAGTTAAAAATTTTGGCTAAGATTCTGTAGGAGCGTTTGCAGTCAGGTGCCGAGTCTCTGTTGGGTCCGGAGCAGACTTGTTCTGTGAGGGACTGAACAATTCAAAGCAACCTGCATCTGATCCGCACGATCATAGAGGGTGTAAAAGACAACGATGAGGCCGCGCTGATCAATTTGGGTCAGTCCAAGGCCTTTGAGAGAGTTGACCATCGCTACCTTGCTGCTTTCCTGCAGGCAGCCGGATTCGCACCCGACTTCTGCCGCTTGATTAGCATCTTGTATCGCAAGTGTGCTGTGGTACAGGTGATCGGGAAGCTGTCGGGCGCTTTTGCTCTGTCTAGGTCGGTTCTTCAGGGTTGTCCATTGTCTCTCCTACTTTATGCATTGGCATTGGAGCCTCTCCTTCACCGGCTGGGGGACAGGTCGTACAGTCCGAACCTACGTGGAATCGTCGTTCCTGAAGCCAGGGTTTCCGCGTACGCCGATGATGTGTCTGCTTTCGTGTCCTCGCAGCGACATTGAGGCGGTACTGAAGGCGCTTGATCGGTACGAAAAGGTGACAGGGGCCATGATTAACCGCGACAAGTCGTCCGGATTGCAGTTAGGTGCTTGGAAGGGGGTCGACCTTCCGGGGCCCATCGGTTGGACGGACAGTCCTGTCCGCATTCTTGGAGTGTGGTTTGAACTCGACCTCAAGCTGGAGAAAAATTGGTCTGAAGTACAAGCAAAGGTCGATGCGGCCGGTCAGACTTGGCGTCGACGGAGATTGTCTGTGAGGGGCAGGGCGGAGGCGTGTGCCACATGCGTTTTCCTGATTGTCCTTTATCGATTGTCCGTACTTCCTCTCTGTGACGACCATAGGAAGCCGCTCGATCGCTCGCTAACCTCCATTTTATGGAGAGGGCGCGTCATGGAGTGCTGGGAATGCCACATTGGGAAGCTACAAACTCACCTCGAGGTTGGCTTTTCTACGCCGCGCATTGACAGGAGATTCGATTATGGCGGGGATTGTTAGGGGCGCGTTCTCTTTCCTTACTATCAGTCCACTCATCTAGCGGGTTGAGCGCCGTCCTAAGCCCCAGGATCAATCGGATTTCCTTCGTGAGTGTCGGTCGGCTTTGTTGGCCGTTCCTTGGTCCAGTGACCTTTCTCAGCCTAGGAAGGTCTTCTATCGTCTTCTAATGGAGGGGGTCACGAAGGATTCTCTACGTGAGTGGCTCGACTTGTCAGAGGAGGAGTTTCGCCCTTACTGGTCTTGGGCGCCAGCGGCGGATTATCTCAGAAACCCTGAGTTTTCGCTTACCTGGCGATTGGCTCGGAATAAGCTGCCTCTCAATGACAAGGTCTTCATATGGGGCTTGGCGGATTTGCCAGACTGTGAACGGTGTGGCCTTGGTCTGGAAGAAACGGCTTCGCACGCCTTCTAGCATTGTCCCGGGCCCGCCCCTTATGGAACCATGTCGACGAGTTGACGGCTCGTCTCGCTCCCGAAAAGCTCGTGCTTATTGATCGCGCATACGCGTCTGACAAAGTATCGCCCACGTATTCTGGGGTGAAACGAATGATGTTTCTGACGCTGCTGACCATGGCCCGAATGGTGATTTGGACGACGCGACAGAAGGAAGTCTTGCCAGGCAATCGTTTTTCTCATCAGGATCTGATCCGATTCTTTGAGTATCAACTCAAGATGAAGATTAGAAGTGATAAAAAACGCTTGCATTCGACAGTCTTCAGCGAAATGTGGGTGGCTGAGGCGAGCTTGTTTCGTTTGAACGGGGCTAGCCTTGATTTTTCTTTTTAACAGTCAACATTTACTTGACAAATTATGACATGGAAAACTTGAATGGATATATAGTAGCAAAAAGAAAAAAATACAAAAACAAAACATTAACCAAATCACATCGGAATAGAAGCTTGAAGTGGTCAAAAGAACATCTAATATGGGATGCAGAAAAGTGGCAAAAAGTAAATTTTTAGTGATGAATTCAAAATAGGGTTACATTCCAATGCAAGAGAATGTGTAAGAAAACCAGGAGAAAGAAATACAAGATACGCGACAAAGATGGTAAAATTTGGTGATGAACATGTTATTGTGTGAGGTTGTCATTACAAGAGATGGCAGTAGAAAATTGGTAAAAGTTGATGGAAACATAAATAGCGAATACTATATTAGTTTATTACGGTCTAATCTTCTCCCAGACTATGAAGATGGAGAATTTATTTCAGCAAGATATTGCTTCTTGCCACACATCGCGTGCAACAAAAAGGTTTCTTGTTTTCTTTGTGTTGGCCAGGCCTTTGACTGACCAACACAAAGCCCTGATAGCAATATAATTGATCCAATTTGGTGGGAACTGAAGAAACAAGACGATAATTATGTAATTTCCAAGAGCTTTGGAATCAATGCCAAGAAAAACAAGAAAAAACTATTTTTAGCTTTCTTAATGGTATTCTTTTATTATGAATTTACGTTGCAAACTGATTCCGCCTCTTGAAATTTATAAAAAAATTATATATTCGTTATCTGGAAAGCTTAATTGATATTGATATAAAAGACATAAGAAAAGTTCATTTCTTGGGGAGGTGCGATTTTGTAGAAAAAAATCCAATCTCATATATATGTCATTTAAGCAGGAGTAAACTACAGGGTGGTCCGAAAATCTTGTCACCCCTGAATAATATAATTTTCTATTTCAGATAGCTGACACGAAAATTGATGTTTATACAGACCTTCTCGATGGGTGATAGCCTGAATGAAAGGGAATACATTGAATCCAGTACATGTGCCTTGTATTACTGTATTATTTGTTCTATTTTTCTCATTACTTTTTCTTAAAGGGTGACAAGACTTTCGGACCACCCTGCACATATAAGTAATATAAACCCAGGAAATATTTGAAAGTTCTTTCACTTTTCCTCATGCATTATTGTAGTATTGTTGTCTGGCTACGCTGGTACATTATGAGGTAAAATGAAATTGCAATTTACTGGAGAGGAATGAATTTAAAAACGCTGGCGAGGATTTCTTCTGGCTGCCGCCATTTTGATTTCAGTCAGATCCTCAGCAGTAGAGATTAAACTAAACGTAATCCCCAAACACACAATATAATAAAAATACGTCACGAATCGGTTATTAACAAATACAGATTTCACCGCCTCTAGAAAATTTACGTATACATCGGCAGTAGGTAATAGAAGTTTCGTGAAGATGTATAAATACGTCCACAGAAGGGGGAGTAAAACGCATAGAAACGGTGTCAGAACTAATTTCAAGTCGAGGGTAATTTGCAGTTCAAGCCTCGCACTCAGTTTCTAATAAAGAATTTCCCCAATTGTTCGATTTAGGTGTAAATGTAGATGCTTAATTCGAAAATAACAAAGAGATTTTGATGAAATCTACCGTTTTGGAGTTACCGACGATAAAAGTTCGGACTCATTAGCGTCGCGGTGTGTGAAGTTGAAATTAATTGTCACCCAAACAGAAGTAGTAATAAGAAGTATCACCGTAATATTTATTTTTTCTTTTGGTTAAAATAAAGAAGTCGTTAATAGATATGATTTAACATATTGTTCAAAATTGCTGAACATTTTAGTAGCACTTTGAAAGAACAAAAGTTATATTCCGGTTAAGTCACATCATTTTGAAATCTCTTTTCAATAAGGAAAATGAAATAAGCCTTGAACAAAGTCTGTTTCAATGACAACAAAATAAAACTACAAATTAATATTCAAAAAATAAAAAAATAATAATAAAATTATTAAATTTTGTATATTTTGGTTACAAATTATCTTTCAAGAACAATTGAGAAACTACTGGAAAAAAATAATAACCGAATAAACATTGGATGGGCAACATTCAGAAAAAATAAGGTATGCTGAAATCAACCATTGTACCAATCCACACTAACATAGGTATCTCCACTTTTTCACTAAAAATAAAAATAATAGCACGAGGAAAAAATGCCTCACAATTAATGAAAATAAAGTTTTATCGTCAAAACGTTTATATTATTATTAAAAGTATTTTAGTTATTTTATTTAATTTTTAATCCTTTCTAGCATGCTCGAAATTTTGATTAATTTTTTTTTTTCAGCAGGATCTACGTATTATTTCCCATTACTTTTTTAGCGCCTATTTTCTTGACAAGGTAATAAAACTTATTTACACTTTTTATATTCAGACTATTGTCCTCACTTTTGTTGTTGTTGTTATCACGTTTCGGCCGTTGTGCTCTCCGGCCTTACTCAGGTGAATATCGATATTTATTTTGATCTACAGGAAATTCTGAACTGAACACTTTATTCAATCTACGAGGAGAGACTCATTCCATCACCTATTTCTTATTTTTAGTACTGCTCAGTTAATCGCTTGTTTCCCTTGAGTCCAAGTACACACTGCTCCAACCCAGGAATGTCACCAAATTCACGAACTAACATTTTAATTGTCCAGCATTCACAGCTCCATAGAAGGACGGATATTACATAGCTGTTCCGTAGTGTTTTATTTGTTTCTAACGAAATCTTTCAGTTATTTAATAATTCAGCTGATAATAATAGAAATAGGGAAAATCAAGAGGCATACCAGCAAGAACCATCATAAATCAACGTATAGATGACACAGGAAACAGAAAAGAACAACGCAACCCCGCTTGTGACTGACACGCGCAACACAGCTCCGGTCAAGGTTGACATGCTCGACACACGCGACACAGCTCTGGTCGGGGCTAACATGCATCAAAGAACATAATTTTATTTGTCACAATTATTTTGTTCTTGTAAATTGCATTTAATCATTCTGTTTGCTACGCTTTTATTTTTATTTTTTATTTCTTTGTCTTCCTTTCCTTTTTATTTGATTCCGACATTTATTTTTTTGTTCTTGGTATTTTTCTTTCATACTTTCGATTTATTTTAATTTTACGTTAGGCTGATCTGTGGAAGAGCTAACAGGGAAAGCATTAACGTGAAAAAAAATGTTTAGTTACTTGTAACGCTCTAGTAAGTAGCTGACTCCACCCGACATGCTCTATGAGAACAAAAAATAGAATATATCTATGCTGGAGTTACATAATCCTCTCTTTCTACTCTTTTTACAGGGTGCAAAAGCGTCTACGCGTCCTTGTGGGTAATTAATTATTTTCCACTCTAAAACCTCTATTTCACTGACGAAGCGTCACAAGAATTTCCCTACTCTGTCGCTATTCTCACGGCAAATGTTCTGACGAGCTACATTTCTTAGTTCTACCAGTTCAGACCTACATAGATAAGACCATCCATGCTATGTACACGAATCGTCTCCATTCCCTTCGGGTTTCATTATTAAGAAGGAAGATTCATTCAGACAGCATTCAGAACTGCTAATTTATAGAACAGAGTCTCGAGGGATGTCATCTCCGATCGCCACAGTATTAAACTTTTCCTTCTTTACATTCTATATTCATACATTTTTGTTTCATTTTTTGCATGCCATGACAGCAGTGAATGTTCTCGGTTCGGCTTTTTCTCTTGGCCGGTTATCACCAATCGTTTTGGTTCGGCAACACAGAAAATTGCAACTTACGTATTTTTATTAATGTCGACGTGTACTAACCATCCAGTGGGGGTCGCCCCACTTTACCGGGGAGCTATTTCAGACACGAAAGAGAACACATCTACATCGCTTGATGGTCAAGTAAGAAATCGCTGAAAAACTTTTATCTATCTATCCACGCTAGCTCAGCCAATCAAAATCGACTTATTGTATGTCTTATATCAGATCCCGACGGACAAGCTACGGAAGTAGGAGCTGAGATCCACTTCCCCTTAAAAATAATAGTCTGATAAACTATTATTTAACAAGAGTGTTCTAATTACGTTTTTCAACGTTATGATTTTTTACGGCTTAACTTTCTGTGGGTTATTTAAAGTCGTAATACATTTTGCATTGTGGGAACAATTCTATTTAGGCGATTTAATATTGCATTAATAATTTTTTTAGATAGAGATTTTTAGAGATAAAGAAACTACTATTTAACCCATAGCCGAGGGGAGAATAGATGGAGTTATACCTTCCCAAAAGGTTTTTACGTGTAAGTGAATTGAAAGAACTAGACTATTCGGAGAAAACAGATTTCGTTAACAGTAGAACGGAATAAAAAAATACCCTCCTCCTGTTGAGCTGCAGGCGTTGGAAATGAAGATATTTACATATGTTATAAATAATAATCTTCAATATAAACAAAGCGCAGTGTACGTGTGTCCGTCCGTTTGTCGATCACGGCGTATAATAAATAACCTAGGTAGTAACTGTTGTAGTTACACGCGATTAAAAATTAAATAACTCATTTAATGTTAAATTTAAATATGGAACAGATTGAAAAGTTTAAAAACAGTTCTTTATTAAAAGGTTTAGCTTAAATTTCGTTTTTCGTCACAATTGCAATTGATATCGTCTAATTAAACCATAATTAAAACTTAAGCGGGGCACGGTACGTTGCTCATGTTTTATTTACTTTTTCTACCGCGCGTACTGTGACGTATTCGAAATATTACATAGTTCGGGTTCTCTAATGTCTTTTAATTGTCAATTTATGTAAATGGAACGTAAAGAATAGTCATTTTAAAAGAAAATAAAAAATGCACGCAAAATAAATGTAAACAAACTAAGGAGATCCGTTGTGTATACGAAGAAAGATTATGTCGAATTAAGTTGTCGAATAAAGATAAAATAATTTTATCATTTCTAAATTCTTATAACAAAGAACGCTGAAGGTAAATACCGAAAACAATACCCGCTGTAGAGGCTAGCATAATGTCCATCGGAAAGACGGCTTCTTCACTAATATTCAAATGAATTTAAGTTGCATTTGTTTATACATTTTTTTTTCTAGTAAAACGTGATTACTTTTCGGATATCCTAATATAATAAGCTATAACCTCACATCTTTTTCCCCAGCGTTGACTGAAAGAGAAAGTGAATGAAACCCGCTCATACTGAAAACTGATCGACTGATAAAGTGTGTATTAATAAAAAAAAGTGGAAATTTAAACAAAGGCTTGGCGAAAAGGAAACACTATAACGGGAAAGATTTGAATTACAATGACTTACGAATTGATAGCCATTAGGAAAAGTGTGTGTGGAGCCATTAACTTAAAGATCGGATGGGAAACAGATATATTTCTGTGCATGGACAGAATAACCCCTTCCATCAGGAGATGCGTCAGACCTTTAAATAAAAAAAAATATTAAAAGAATAAATATAAAATGGCATCTGGAAATTTATGTAATATTTTTTAAAGCTAGAAAATTACTGATGGTAGAAAGTGAATACGCGGAAACAGCGTTTTAAGCAAAACGAGAATAGTCCACGAGAACTTTCACGAGGAAAACTATAAGGTTTGTGCAAATATTCCATAGCTGTTTAATAATAATAATAATAATAATTATTATTATTATTATTATTATTATTATTATGAAGAGTGAATAGGCATTTAAAAAACGAATTTTTTAATGGAAACTTTTATTATACACATACAAATACATTTTCCCATTCTTGAAAGAATTAATGAAGTGACATTGTAAATTTCGAACCTTACGAATGCCCAGTATAGCCTTGTGCCATACTAGGTTATACTTAGTAAATGAAGTAAAAAAGGCATGTAAAAGTCATTGAAATTATGCAAAATTTTATCTTTTTCCTTCTGTAAAATGCTAGTCATTTTCCTCGTTCTTAATTATTGTTTAGGTTTACATAATTTTAAAGTTGGGGAGGGTGTCAGCGCAGAAAGTGTAATCGGTGCACAGAGTTCAAATTCTGACTTAGTCTGTTGCATTCACTTTCGCACTAATGTCCTTGGGCAGAGAATGAATCAGTATTTTCTATTATCTGATCTATTGGTTAAGTAGATTTCTAGCTTTGGGTGGACGCCAGTCTAGAAGGAGGACTACAAAATCATAGAGAAGGTAACGAGAATTGCTCCATTATTTTTCCCAAGTTGCTATAGCAATTCACAGATGATAAAAAGGAATCTATACAGAGCCATGATTGCCGAAATTCTGAAGGAATATTGCATAAAAAGCATTTATTTTTAAAAACAAATATATTTTATTTTCAATAAAATCTTACTTATTGCTAAACATAAATCAAATCTATCAACTATCATGCATTGAAAATTTCAGTTTCAGATTTATAAAAAAAGCACAGAGAAGCTGCACTATAACGGTGGGAAAGTGATTGCAATTGAGATGCCAGGTCAAGAGCCATAGCATTGCAGATTATTTGGATCTATGTCAAGAATCTGTAGATACAAAGCAGAAGCACACCTGTCAAAACTATTTTGAAGAAAAAATTCTTAAAGTGTGCAACTCAGAACACTGCACATTCGATCTATTTCTTCCAGCAGATCATTAGTATGCTTAAACAGAAGAGAAGATTATATGCTCATCTATCAGTCATCATCATCATCATCATCATCTCCATCTTGATGTTTTTAAACATAGGGGTGGGGGTTCGAATGCAGAAGCCACATTAAATCTCCTCCCCAACAGCCTATCAACGGCAGCCATCAGCAATTTTGTTATAGTCATACCTGCCCATTGTTTGACATTGTCTAACCAGTTTTTGATTTGACGTCCTCTTCTAGGTCCACCTTCAACGGTGTCATGCATGATGGTTTTTCACAGGCTGTCGTGTCTTGTAACGTGTCCAAACCACGCCATTTTTCCCCGTTTGACAGTGGCGAGAAGAGGTTCCTGTTGGCTCACAAAACTCTCCACCCTTTTGCGCATAAACTCATTGATTTTATGTTCCCAATAGAATATGCGAAATATTTTTCTCATACATTTTTACTCAAACACTCGGATCCTTCACCCTGTTTTTTCCAACAGTTTCCACGTTTCCCATTCATATAAGAGAATGGGGACTACCAGCGATTCGACTGTCAGTACAGTTAAAAAAAATGAAATAAAAAATACGGATTTATGAATGAGATAAACTACAGCTTCGGATTTACCATCATTCGGGGCTTCGATTTTTTAACGTTAAGTATTTTAACTTGCATATTTATATCGTTAAGAGCCTCATCGACACGTCAAGATTAGTATGCATCCTCCTTAAGGAGTGAAACAGTCAACGAATGTTTTCTTTTCTAGTTCAGAATATAAATACATTCGTCAGGACAACATTCATTTTTAAAATTAGATTTGTCCTTCTCCTAGACTGGTTGCCAACCAAGGATGAAAAGCCCAATCAGAACTTCTATTTAACCTATAGTTAGGGGGATACATGAATTCATACCTTCCCAATAGTATTTGCGCAAATGATAAAGGCTTGCGGAATGTATTAAGACACGACCTTAAAATTTGGTTGTGTTAATAAAAAGTGTCTTACAGTAAAACCAATGCTGTTTGCAAGGAACATCGTGTCAATACACTGCCAATATTCTTAAACTGAATTTTCGACCAAAACCCTTCACGAAATCCAACCTAGTTTTGTTGTTTGCCTTTCAGTTCCTCTCAAAACAATCATCAGCATAAAATACTTTTGTTCTTTGGTAAGTCGTCGTTTCTAACATTTTCTTGACAGGATGGAGATCAATATAATTTTGTTTTAATCATTTCACTCCAAGTAAGGCAATAAAGCCACCAAGCTGCAAGGGGTTAGTGAGAGAGAAAGAATCTGAAAAAACGCCATTGAAGAGAGGGGATAGTAAAAGAACAGGATTTGAGGGGTCAGGAGATGACGATTGGCTTGGATCTAAATGTTGGAAGATCGTAGTTGACAGGAAAATCTAGAAATCAGGAGAGTGTTTTAAATCTAGCAATTTCAACAGTTCAATGAGGAGACAACTGCCAATCTAGTACAACTCTTAAATTTATGAAGTTGATATAACAAAAAGAAAGGAAGATTGCGTTGTGGCAATATTCTAAGTGGGGCGAGTCAACCCGCCTTGAAAAACCAACATTCAAGATCCCGGACTTTAGCTAAATTCGAACACCAATTACAGAATCGACTCTCAGATACGAACACAGATCGATTAGATCGTTGTGTATCCGTTAGCAAGCAGGCGCTATACGGGTATTTGTTAGGCTTAGGCTGACAAAATACTGCGGACATGAAGACAGCCATGCATATTCGAACTCACTACAAAAGTATTGATATACGAGACGAGATTATTAACCAAACATAGAGAGATTCACACTCACAATCTTCGTTTTTATAAAGGAATTTCTTTCCTGTATATATCTTGCTGTTTAACGACGTTTATGGAAATGCGAATAAAAAAAACGCCCGACATGAAATGATCTAAAAATGAAGACAGACTGACTTACCAAGATGAACGACAGACTGGTGGTAAGCAACATCGGCATTGTTGTACCAGAGTTTTGCCATCAACCATACATAATCATTGTCAGTTGGCAAGAAAACCTGAAATTGAAAATATTTAAATTATATTGAATATTTCTACAAGGTTCACAGACGAAACGCCACACGCCTCTTGCGAATCTATCGCTATTTCTATGGTAAATGTTCTGGCGAGTTCCATTCCTTAGTTCGAACAGTTAAGACCATCATGACTAAGACCGACCATACCATGTAAAATGGGACGACTATCACTATTCCCATCGTATTCCATTAGTAAGGTGGAAGTGCCACTACAACAGCTTCTTCCAAAGAACCGTTACTGTGTGGAACCGACTCCGAAGAGAATGCTTCATCGATCACTACAATCTCAACCTATTAAAAGGATAGTGTTAACCATTATCCTACCTGAATATCCTCATAAACTGCACTTCTTACATCTTCCTCTTATATTCATACAACAACCTCATTCAGTAATCCTCTATCATGAGCGGTTCTTTAACATTTTCAGTCTAGGGTTAACCATTATCCTCCATATCCTCTTAAACTGCTCTTCTTACCTCTTTCTCATACAACAACATCATTTAGTAATACTCTACTGTGGCACACACTTGGATCTTGTATTTTGTGAACATTATTAAAGAAAATGATAAAATAACACAGCCACACGTGTGTATATATATATATATATATATATATATATATATATATATATATATATATACTAGCAGTAGAGCCCGGCGTTGCCGGGGATGTAACAATAAGAGATAGATCAAGTATCGACCATCATAAAGACTGAAAAAATAAAATTGACAAAGATTATTGTTTAAGGTTGACGGACACGCATGTCTTAATTAGTTTTTTTTTTTTTTTACGAATTGGTCAAACCCAAATTCAAAGAAAAACATTGTTTACAATCGTTATGAGTCTATCGATTGGTGAATAGAATTTTATTATAAACAATTGTCTTGTAAATGGAATTTTTAAAGCATTCTGAATGTAAATAAAGAAAAAAGTGTGCAAGACAATAAGAAATACTACCTGCCGAAAAAAAAAGTGGATGTTTGTTTTATCGGCTGAAAAATGTAAGAAATCCGATCCCATATATAAAGGAACACACACACACACACACACACACACACACACACACACACACATACATACATAAACAACCTGGGTTTTTTAACCTAAGTCACTCCACGGAATCGCTAAAACATAGAGCATAGTCTGATGAAAAAGACGCCAAAGTTTATGAAAACAAAATTTTATCGTCAAAATGCTTGTGTTTTTATGAAGAGGATAGACTAAATATTTTTTTTTAATTATTTTTTAAAAATTTTTCCATCTTTTTAGAATATTCTAAATTTTGATTTAAAAAACCTTGTTTCTCTTTGTCGCAACACACATTAATTTGGAAAATCTTGCAAAAATAAAAATAATTGTCAACTATGGATTTTCACGGAGCGAAAGAGATACGTCCGTGTTGCTTTTTTTACTACTGCTACTACCACCTGCTTGTGGTAGAAAGGTTGTTTTATAATGATGAGGCTTCGGATCTTTATTTCGAGAATGATGAAATATCATCATCATGAATCATAACATTCTTAAAGTGAGGCTTACTTTTCAGGAATCTCCGTGCACAGCTTAATGAGAGCCGGGTTGCATCCTACCAAACGCTGGTTACCGAACCAAACATCTTCATTCCAGTGATCTGCTGCCTATATTAAGAGACATTTAATATTGCCAATATATGAAATGATATTTTAATTATGAATGAATCAAAAACAAAAACAAAACACAAATAGCGATGAAGAGTAAAAGTTTATTATAGTGTGACGTCCGAAGACACAATCGCGAAGCAATCACTGACAATAACTTGCTGATCATTCAACCAGAGGCGGATTGTATGTCTCCTTCGTTTCTCAGAGTCCCTCTCAGCTCCTCTTCTTTTATTGTCCACGTGGATAAAAAGAAAAAAAACTCAGAACGCTGGTTTCCAGCGGGAAATCCTCTGATTGGTTGACTACGATTATTTTACCCGAAGAAAACCTGAAGTGGATGCTTGAAGCCACCGACTCTGAAATATATTTACTCATTTGACACTTCCGTCACCGAGTAAAATTCGGAGTCCAGCAAATATAAGAGGTACGACAGTCGCCCAACAGACCGTCAGATTAAACTAAAACTAGCCATTATATTGTGAGTTTAGAATTTGCTTGAAAAGATAATCACCATTTGCCAGTCGTAAGAATGGTTATCATAGCCATTTTACCATAGCCATGTGTATGTATTTTATCATAGCCATGTGTACGCATGGGAAAATAGATCATGTATAAATTTGTAAACACTTTTATGGTTATGGGAAAGTATTACTCGCAAGATAATGGCAATGGTGGCTGAAGTTAAGAGACACAAATCAAACTTCTTGAATCTCCCAATGGAATTGACAGAATCAATCGCAAACGATTCGATAACAATCAGCTCGAGGAAAAAAATTACCAAACTCATTTTTCTCCATCAGGTTTTATGAAGCAGGGATTAGTTTTAAATATTCAAATATTAAGTTTTATGCCACAATTTACTGTAGATTTATAACTATCACTGATTTCATTTTTTTAGATGAATTTTAGTTATTTTATGTTTCTTATTTTGTAATATTTTTAAAGTAATGTCTTGACCACTGTCAGTCTGCTCGACTGATTGGTTTATTCTTTTTAAATATTGATCTTTGATTTAAGAGGGCATGCGTTTCATCATTGAAGGATACAGGTTCAAGATAGAATGCAGTAGCCGAAGTGTTTTTAAAGAATAAAATTTAAATATATGTCTATACTTCACATAAACATACATGAGAGAGAGAGAGAGAGCGAGAGTGAGACAGAGAGCGAGAGAGAGGGAGAGAGAGAGCAAGAGAGAGAGAGCGAGAGAGAGAGTTTGTATGGCAGCGATATTCGAAGAGTAAAGACACTTTACTGTTCCTAGATTCCTTGGTGTGACAAGATACGACCTGTTGAATTCCGTCCTCTTCATCTTTCTATCGCTTCCTTCAAGAAACGATACTATTACGTCAATCTCTTACCTGAAATAAAGCGTCGTTCATTCAGTCTGTGATGCAGCGCTGGAACCTGAAGAATTGCCTATAGATCAAATGAAAATACAGCCGACACGCAGCGCAATAGCGACTCGGATTCAGTGTTATTCCAGCTACATCGACCGAATTTTAGTTAAATTTTTCCTACTATCGTTTACTAGCAGTAAAGCCCGGCGTTGCTCGGTGTTTTATGTAGTTAAATTGCTTTGGGGTTTGAATTATTGAACTTACGCACGTATCCGCAGTTGTTGAGGTCACTGATAGGCCGGGAATCTCACTGGTAGCAAAATCTATGAGTTCATGGGCGACAGGTTGCAATAGTTGGCTGCTGTGTTGCTGCTCAGTGCTTATCCGAAGACTGCCACCCGTTCATAATCGGTTAAGATTTTTAATTCTGGTAATGTAAAATAGTGCCTGCGTTTTCACTGTAGGAATCGCCCCTTCACTATTAAGTCTATAAGTAAGGTAATGTTATGACTGTGAGTGTAATCCTGTCGGCGTAGGAGTTCACGGGTTATCTCAACCCATTCGGGGTTGCAGGTAAAGGTTATAAATAAGTCTGGCCGCCCATATTGCCTAACGTATGTCATAGCCTCCTGCGTGCGTTCATGCATGTAACGCGGCCCCCAGTGGAGGTAGAGGACAGAATGCAAAGCTTCCCTAGGTCGCGGGTATTGACCTCATTTCGAAGACTGTCGCGTAAGTGTACGTAGGAGTCTGAGCGCAGCTGTTTCTGATGATTCCATATAAAACAAATCCTCTCCGATTCCATCTTAGCGGCCATGTCAACCGCAAACTGGTGGAAAAGCTCCCTGCATCTATGAAGCAGGATGAAGTCTTCATCCCTAACCATGAAACGGTATGAGGAGAAGGCCTTGCACGATAAGGCTTTGGAAGATGTTGTAGGTTGGCCACCCGGAGTATGAAGGGGAATGCCGAAGTGGTAGCCATCGTCACCATAAGGGAAAAGTAAAGGGTACTGCAATGCGTCATATGATCGATAGGTCGCTGAAATCCCGCGAAGAGTGCCGCCTCTTGATTTGAGGAAAATATCTCGAGTGCGGTCTTGCCCCCCCCCCACCATGTATAATAGCGGCCGCTTCTTTGCACGCAGGAGCATTATGGCGGCGTTCGTGTTCATCATGAGGCCGTTTGTCGGCGTCAATTACAATGCTCCGCACGATCATAGAGGGAGTAAAAGACGACGAAGAAGCCGCGCTGATCAACTTGGATCAGTCCAAGGCATTTGATAGGGTTGACCATCGCTACCTTGCTACTGTCCTGCAGGCCGCTGGATTCGAACCCAACTTCTGCCGTTGGATTAGCCTCCTGTATCTCTCCCCCAGTGCTGTGGTACAGGTGAACGGAAGGTTGTCGGACACTTTTCTGCTGTCTAGGTCGGTTCGTCAGGGTTGTCCGCTGTCGCCTCTCCTTTATGCTTTGGCGTTGGAGCCTCTCCTTCGCCGGCTAAAGGACGAGGCGTGCAGTCCGGCCCTACGTGGAATCGCCGTACCTGGAGGGTCTCGAGCCAGGGTTTCCGCGTACGCCGATGACGTATCTGCTTTCGTGTCGTCCCGCAGCGACATTGAGACGGTGCAGAAGGTGCTTGATCGGTACGAGAAGGTGACAGGGGCCAAGATAAACCGCAACAAGTCGTCCGGCTTGCGGTTAGGTGCCTGGAAGGGGGTCGCTCTTCCGGGCCGCTTCGGTTGGACGGACGGTCCTGTCCGCATTCTAGGAGTGTGGTTTGGTCCCGACCTCCAGCTGGAGAAGAATTGGTCTGAAGTACGTACAAAGGTCGATTCCGCCGGTCTTACTTGGAAACGACGGAGGTTGTCCGTGAAGGGCAGGGCGGAGGTGTGTGCTACATACATTTTCCTGATTCTTTATCGATTGTCCGTACTTTCTCTCTGTAAGACCCACAGGAAGGCGCTCGAGCGATCGCTATCCTCCATTTTATGGAGGGGACGTGGTAATTGGGTCGACAGACGAGTCTGCACTAAACGTCCGTGTCATGGGGGGCTGGGAATGCCGCACCTGCCGAGTCACATCCGTGCCTCTATGTTGGCTTTCCTACGCCGCGCATTGACTGGAGGAGATCCAATTCTGGATGGGATTGTTAGGGATGCGTTCCCTGGCCTTACCATCAGTCCCCCCATCTCGCGGGTTGAGCGCCGTCGTAAACCCCGGGATCAATCGGTTTTCCTTCGCGAGTGTCGGTCGGCCTTGAGAGCCGATCCCCGGTCCAGTGACCTTTCTCGGCCTAGGAAGGTCTTCTATCGTGAATTAGTGGAGAGGCCCGCGAAGGATACCCTACGAGATACGCTCGGCTTGTCGGAGGAGGAGTATCGCTCCTACTGGTCTTGGGCGCCAGCGGCGGATACCTCAGTAACCCTGAGTTTTCGCTTAGCTGGCGATTGGCTCGGAATCGGCTGCCTCTCAACGACAACGTTTTCATATGGGGCTTGGCGGATTTGCCAGACTGTGAACGGTGTGGCCTTGGTTTAGAGGAAACGGCTGCGCACGCCTTCTACCATTGCCCCCGGGTCTGCCCCTTATGGGACCATGTCGGCGAGCTGACGGCTCGTCTCGCTCCCGAACAGCTTGTGTTCATTGATCGCGCATACGCGTGTGACAATGTGTCGCCCCCGTATTTCGGGGTGAAACGGATGGTGTTTCTGACGCTGCTGGCCACGGCTCGAATGGTGATTTGGACGACGCGAAAGGAGGAAGTCTTGCGAAGTGATCGTCTTTCTCATCAGGATCTGATCCGATTCTTTGAGCATCAGCTCAAGATGAAGATTAGAACTGATAGAAAACGATTGCATTCGACAGTCTTTAGCGAAAGGTAGGTAAAAGAGGCGAGCTTGGTTCGTGTGACCGGGGCTATCCTTGATTTTCTCTTCTAGGTAAAACCTATGGCACATCGGGGTGGCTTCCTGTGGAACCCTCCCCTTGGTTAGGTTAGAAAAGCTTCAGTGTACCTAGTTAATGTGAGTAAATGTTGGTCCTGGCCTGTATCCCGGCTGCTCTTTGGTTATGATCCAAGTCGAGATTCCCAACCTCCCCAGTTTGTTTTGGTCCCCCTTTCATCTCGACTGGGTCAGCTTTATACTTTCCCACTCCCGCATAATATTTTATCCTTTTCCCACTTCCTTAGCGAGAGCGCCTCTTGATTCTGTCCTCTAGGCAGAATACAGCGGCCCTCTGTTTTTTTGAGGGTTGGACGGTCCCTACTAACATCAATTATATTTAGTTTGCATTTTGTTTTGATTTTAGTTCATTATTGGGTTCATCTCCCCTCCCCTCTCATTTTATCACTATTAGAATTTTAGGTATATTGTATATCTTCATCAAATTTTTTATGGCGTGGGGCGCGTTTTTGTAGGTTCCCCTGGAGAGGATGTGGTATTATGGTGGATGGCGGATTGAACGGTGATGGATGAGTTCTTGTGGTGAATGAGTAAATTGTAATGTATGAATGGGTCGTGAATCTGATTAGCTAGGTATAAGATAGTTAGTGTTGACCAGCCTCTACCCCTCCCCTTTTCGGCCTTGTGCCACAATTTGTACTTCTTGTACGAATAAATATACCATTGCGGTTAGCTTACTCCTGACTCTGTCTCTGTATTTTGACATACCTACATCCGATTATAAAATTATTATTGAAAACCACACTCGGGTTTACTTTGTTTATTATATCTTGCACGAGATATAACAGCTGGCGACGAAGGATTGTGCAACGTACTTACTTGGAAAAAAAAATATATATATATATATTACGCTGAACGGATTCCGAAAGCGGAGTCACAAGTCAAAAGGAAACTTTTTGAAAAGTAAGAATTTTTACTGTTAAATTGTGATTTGAAAAATATATATTCAACTGCGACTCAAATACGAGCCGGTCTAATAATTTATTATTCAAGTAAAAATTACGGGCCGTAAAAATATTACGGCTGTAAATTGTCTGTTAACTGTCTAAAAAAAAAAAAAAAAATTTTTTTTTTTGCCGAATTCTAAATAAAGTCAGGATGGAGCAATTAGTCGAAATGACTAAAATGCTGTGTACAAGCTTGCAACAGCAACAACAACAGCAACAACAACAGCATCAAGAGTTACAACAACAGCAACAAAAACAGCATCAAGAGTTACAACAACAGCAACAAAAACAGCACCAAGACTTACAACAACAAATATTGCAACAGCAAAAAAGTCTCGAAAAAATTCTGAAACAGGCGACTGGAGAAAGAAAAAATACTGTTTTTTCTGCCGAAGGAATAGCAAATTCATTATCCGAATTTATTTATGATCCTGATTCGGGCATTACATTTCCAGCGTACTTTAAACGTTTCGAAACTATATTTACCAAGAGATGTCAACATTGGTCGGATGAGGAACGAGTAACATTATTAGTACAGAAACTAGGGACAAACGAGAATAGGAAGTACTCAAACTTGATATTGCCCAGAAAGCCAGAAGAAGTTTCGTTTGAAGAGACTATAAGTATTCTGTCAAAAATATTTGACGAAAGGAATAGTCTGTTCCACACGCGATACAGATGCCTAAACATCGTTAAAGCAGATAACGAGGATTTTGTGATATACGCGGGAACAGTGAACTCTGGTTGAACAATTCAAGTTAGAAGAAATAACCAAAGATGTATTCAAGTGCCTAATTTTTCTTCAAGGATTAACTGATCCTAAATATAAAGAAATTAGGTCGAGAATATTAATAATGGTCGAGCAAGACTCGAAAATAACATTACAAAGGGTGACCGAAGAATGCCAACGTCTCAAACGTAAAAAGGGATAATATACAAATTGAGGAGAAAAGTGTTGCTAATGTTCGACACGTAAAAACTCGAAAAACTCCAAAAGCCAAAAAGATAGAAAAATGTGAGACGTGTGGAAAAAATAACCATACCAAAGACACGTGTTGGTACAAAAATAAATTCTGCCAATCGTGTGGAAAAAAATCATACCAAAGACGTGTGTTGGTACAAAAATAAATTCTGCCAATCGTGCGGAAATAAAGGGCATAAATATACGGTTTGCCGAAAGAAAAGGAAATTACAAGATGTAAGCCTGGTATTATCAGAAAAAGAAATTCAGAAAGGTAAAAATAGAAAGTACGTAGATGTACGTATAAATAATCATACAATTACTTTCCTATTGGATTCTGGTTTAGAAATAAGCATCATTGATGAACAAACATGGAAAAATATTGGAAGACCTAAATTATCTGAAACCAAAAAACCGCTAGAGGGGTTTCAGGAAAGAAATTAAACTTTATGGGAGAATTAAAGTGCGATATTTCGTTATGTGGCAAGACTGCAAAAACGAAAGTGTATGTAATCCAAGGGATTAATTCATGTCTTTTTGGAATAGACTGGATAGTACTTTTTGATTTGTTTGAACTCCCAATTAACTCATTTTGCAACGTAATAAACAGTGCAGAAAAACAAAAAATATTAAAATGAAAAATTCATAAATGAATTAAAAGAAGAATATCCCAGAGTTTTTTCTGAGGGATTGGGTTTATGTACTAAGACGGAAGTCAAATTTGAACTCAAGGAAAATATGAAACCAATTTTCAAACCTAAGAGAAACGTTCCTTTTTCCTCCTTAGACACAATTAATAAGGAATTGGAAAGACTTGGAAAAATGGGAGTGATATCTAAGGTTGACCATGCGGATTGGGCCTCGCCCACAGTTTATGTTAAGAAGAAAAACGGAAAAATAAGAGTGTGCGCAGATTTTTCAACAGGGTTAAATGATTGCCTTAAAAATCACAGTTATCCACTACCTTCACCAGAAGATATTTTTTCAAAATTGAATGGTGGGAAGATTTTTTCAAAAATCGACCTGTCTGACGCATACTTGCAGATTAAAGTGAGTGACGAATGCTCGAAATATTTGTGTATAAATACACATGAAGGAATTTATAAGCTAAATAGGCTTCCTTTCGGCTTAAAGGTCGCCTCAGCTTTGTTTCAACAGGTGATGGACACTATGCTGGCAGGCCTTGAGTTTGGAACCGCCTATTTAGATGACATTCTAGTCAAAAGTAAGAATGTTCAAGAACATAAAACGCACATCAGAGCGATATTCAAAAGACTAGAAGATTTTGGTTTTAAATTAAGCCACGAGAAGTGTAAATTCTTCATGGAAAGAATTACGTACCTCGGACAGGTAATAGACAGTGAAGGCAGGAAACCGGACCCACAGAGAGCCGATGCAATTAAGAACATGCCTGCACCTGACACAGTTGCGAAACTACAATCGTTTCTGGGGTTGGCACAATATTATGCAATCTACATACCTAAAATGTATGATTTAAGAGCCCCCCTTAACGAATTGTTAAAAAAAGACAAGAAATGGTTTTGGTCAAAAGAGTGAGAGACGGCTTTTCAGAAAATAAAAAAAATGCCTACCCTCAGATCTCGCCTTAGCACATTATGATCCTGAGAAAGAGATCATTCTGGCAACTGACGCAAGTTTGTACGGAGTGGGTGCTGCACTGCTACACAAATATGAAGATGGCACTACTAAACCGATCGCGCACGCGTCGAGGACTCTTCTTCCGGCTGAAAAAAATTATAGCCAGATCGAGAAAGAGGCTTTGTCGATTGTGTTCGGGGTTAAAAAATACCATCGTTTTTTACATGGTAGATCATTTGTACTTCAAACGGACCATAAACCGTTACTTACAATATTTGGAGGTAAAAAAGGCATTCCTACGCATACAGCTAATCGCTTACGACGATGGGGTGTAACCCTGCTTAATTACCATTTTAGGATGGAATACGTCAAATCTAAAGAACATGGGCATGCGGATGGATTGTCAAGGCTGATTCCAAAAAATGAAGAAATGTTAGAAGAGACGGTTATAGCAGCATTAACTGAGGAAAAAGAAATATCAAGTCTCTTGTTGAATACAATCAGGGAATTGCCGGTAACGTTGGACCAAATAAAAAAAGAAGCGGAAAAAGATCACTATATTGTGGAATTAAGGAACCAGACGAGATGGAACAAAAGACAGAAAAAGGGAACTCAGATTTCACCTTTTTCAATTTGCGACAACACATTGATGTACGCAGATAGAATTGTTATACCTCAATCTCTACGTACAGATATGCTGAAAGAATTTCATACCGGTCATCCTGGAATGTCTCGGATGAAATCACTCATGCGTGGTTACGTATACTGGCCAGGAATGGACAAGGATATTGAAGGTTTTGTAAGACTATGTAGAGGTTGTCAATTGGCTGCAAGAGCACCTCCGGTCAAAATGAATCCTTGGCCGAAAACGGATTTGCCGTGGGCACGTCTACATATAGACTATGCTGGACCAATTAATGGGTACTATTATTTGATATTGGTGGACTCTTTATCGAAATGGCTTGAGGTAGTCAAGTGAAAGCATCCTACATCTAGGAACACCATCAGTGCATTGGATGAAATTTTCAGTCGTTTCGGGGTTCCCAGGACATTGGTTAGCGACAATGGTACGGCGTTCACAAGTATGGAGTTTAAGGATTTCTGCACTGCCTTAGACATTGAACACATAACTACACCAGTGTGTCATCCCAGGTCGAACGGTCAAGCCGAGAAATTTGTTGACACCTTTAAACGTGCTTTACGTAAAAATAAAGGTATGGACACGAAAGAAAGAACTATACAGAAGTTCTTAGCAATCTATAGGGTAACTCCTAATGAGAACAACGATGCGAAAATGTCACCGGCGGAAATTATGTTCGCAAGGAAAATTAGATCAATTTTCGATAGATTGTTACCCTATCAAAACAAAAAAGTTGCTAAGAAAGAGGAAAAGACAACATAAAAAATACACTTCAGGAGACAAAGTTTTTTTTTAAATTTTAAAAGTGGAAAAAAGCGATTGGATGGATGGCATAATCCAGAAAAGGATTGATAAAGTGGTCTACACGATTAAAAGTAAAAAATTTACGTGTAAAAAGACACATCAATCAGATTAGACCACGATATGGTGAAGAAAGTGAAAAAAAAGCGAAGAAGAAATTCCGATGGAAGTGTTATGCGATGCTTTTAACATGACACTACCCAATAGTATATTTGAACCTGTATCGCATGGACCAGCCTTACGGGCTGAAAAGCGGAAATTATCTTCGCCAAAAAAGGGATCAAATTGTGACGACTAAAAGGAGCACACGGGAAAGAAAACCAGTGGAGCGTTTTAGTCCGGATCCAAAAGAAGACGACATTAGAAGCAGAAATTTTCAAAAGGGAGAATTTCAGCTTCGGGGGGAGGTGTTGTGACGAGATAACCCAACTTCCCCATTCACGATAATGGACGGACTGGTTGCCGATAAAGTACGACCACAGTCAAGAGTAGAGAAAAAAGGTCTTCGTTTACTAACACCATTGCGGTTAGCTTACTCCTGACTCTGTCTCTGTATTTTGACATACCTACATCCGATTATAAAATTATTATTGAAAACCACACTCGGGTTTACTTTGTTTATTATATCTTGTACGAGATATAACACCTACAGAGCGGCGTCTCAGCAGCCCAAGCGCTCGCTGTTGCAGCAGCGTCCCTGGATTGACGGTCAAGTGTCTCTATTGCCCTCACAGTGGCAGCGTTTCTTACGTTACGAAGAAGGCTTTGATGATGAGTCTCGGAAGCCCGAGATGCAGAGGCGATTGCTGCAGCCTGTGTGTTCATTCTCGACCGTTGTGCATTCTTGAGTGCAACAAAGCCCTGTAGGCAGCTTTCCCAGCCAAGCAGGTGGCACGCTCCTCTTGTGACTGCGAGGCCTGCGTGAGAGCGCTGCGTTGAGTGACCTGTGATAGTCGCATTGTGGTCTGCTCCTGAGACTCGCGGGCCCTTCTTGCCTTTATAGCGGACCCTCTTGTAGACCGAAGGTGAAGACGTACCCTCCTTTTTGGCGGCATGGGGAAAAGTGATGCTAGTAGTGGTTGATTAGGGTTGCTCAATTGCAGGGGTACAAAGTCTAACTTAGTATCGCAAAGCGTGCGCCAGAATCGGGGAGGCAGGTATTTAAGTAAAACAGCTGAATAAATTATTTATGGTAGTTGGAAAAATATAGTTAAACAGACAAACGGAAAACAAAAAGGTAAGAAACAACTTGCGGGAGGAGAAATGATCAGTTGAAGGATCCTATCGTATCAACCGGATGGCGGTGTAACAGGAGCAGAAGTGAGACCTTCGTCCCACAGCTGTGCACACCAGGTTCAAATGCGAAGTATTACTGACCAATCGGTTGTGCCAATCAACGAGCGTCCTAGGGTCTTGAACACCAATCAGCGATCGCGTACTGCACTCAGCCAATGAGATACCGCTATGTGAAGCATGGTCACACGTGTGTGAATAACAATCAGCTGTAGAGTCTGTAGTGTAGACGTCTCAGTTGAACATACGTTTGATTGGTGTATTCGCAAATTCCGATGAAGACATGATTGTATCGACTTCCCTCAAGTATTCGAGGGTCACAAAGGAGCTCACAGGGCAAAAGTTTTTAATTGCCACGACGAAAGCCGATAAAGTTAATCAAAATCCAAAGCAAGTTGCGAAAAACATCGCCAAATTCAGGTAAACCCGATTTGAATGTGAAGTCAAATGGGGTATGATTTAATCGATTTTTATCCGATAATTGAAACCGATATTGAAAACGAAAGTCAGCATCTCAATACTGTCGGTAAATACTATGCTCAACAGGAATTTTGCAGAAAATTCTTCGCCATTTGCGAAAAATATAGCCAAAAATCAGCTTGACTGGATTTGAATTGGAAGTCAAAAGCGGCATGATGTTATCAATTTTTTTCCGATAATTGATACCGATATTGAAGAAAAAGGTCAGCAACTAATAACTGTTGATAAAACTAATGCTCAACATGATTTTCGTGAAAATCCCTTGCAGTTTGCGAAAAACAGAGCCAAAAATCAGCTACATTGGATTTGAATCGGATGTCCCAAAGTGATCGATTTTATCGATATTTTCTGATAACTGATATCAATTTTTAAAAACAAAGAACAGCACCTCAAAACTATAAGTAAGAACATTGCTTAACCTGAGTTTGGTGGATATCACTTGTAATTTGTGAAAACTATCACTGAAAAACTGATGAATTTTTTTCGAATCATTATTCGACACCCTATCGGTTTTATCAATTTTTTCCAAAATCTGAGGAACAATCGAATAATCCGAAGACGTCAAGTACGAATGACGTAAATCTCCGATCTGTGTGTGAATTTTCATGCCAATCGGACGAACGGCTTGCTCAGGATGAGGTAACAAGGTGACAAACACAGAGACACACTAACAGAATGCCATTTATAGATACAGATACGGACCAAAGGTTTGACAGGGCTCATGTAAACATAGATAATCCTAGGATCCTAGGATCCTGACCAACTTCTTGAAACTCGACAGACATTTTCAGGACCACTTTTCTTTTTACTAATACTAAAATGGACATGTACGAAGGCTGTAGTTGGGAATAATTTGAGGGCTCATTTTATCAGGTCATCACCATAATGTTTACAAGCATTTAAACTGATCAAAAGAGAACAATAAATTAAAATTTTGTTTGATTAAAACCCTGCTAACATAGAAGTACCTAAGAATCATTTGAGGCACATAATGCTTTATGAGTTCAAGAAAGGAAACTCAGCAGCCGAAGCGGCTAGAAACATTCACTCAGTTTATGGAGAGGAATGTATGAATGAAAGAACTTGCAGAAGACGGTTTGCAAAATTCAGAGGTGGAGATTTCACCCTTGAAGATGAAGATCGAACCGGACGTGCAGTTGAGTTTGATAAAAAGTTTCTTGAAGCAGCCCTTGAAAAAAATCCTGCTTTATCAGTTGAGGAATTGGCAGTGGTTCTCAGTTCAAACCATACAACTATTCATCGTCATCTTCAACAAGTTGGAAAAGTTCCTAAACTTGGAAAATGGGTGCCTCATGAATTGTCTGAAAACAACCTCAAATCCCGAGTTGATATCTGCTCTTCTCTCCATTCTCGCCAACTTGTTTCACCTTTTTAAAATAGACTTGTGACTGGCGACGAAAAATGGATATTTTATCGAAATGTTAAGCCACTTCATGGGCAAAAGGTTCATCTTTGAGGAAAAAAGACCTGCTCTAGTGAATCGAAAAGAGGTGATGTCTCATCAGGACAATGCGCGACCCCACACAGCAAGAATCACGTCAAAATGATCGAAGAACTTGGTTGGGAGAAAATTCCTTATCCACCTTATTCTCCCGATCTTGCTCCTTCAGACTACCATTTGTTTCGTAGCTTACAGAATCATTTGGAGAAACAGCTTTTGTAAAACAGGAAGAGTTTAAAACTGACATTTGTGAGTTCTTCGAATCAAAGCCAAAAGAATTTTACATTAATAGAATTAGTAAGTTTGTTAATAGATGGAAGGAAGTCATAGATAATCAGGGAAAATACATTGTTGATTGAATATGTAATTAAATGTAACATTTGGTCACTTGTTTTCTTTATTCAATATTCGGACAGAACTTATGGGATGATCTGATAAATGTTCAGTTAAATGTTCTTGTCGGTTCAACCTAGATTAGAAAAGCAAACAACACGGGAAACTAGAGTAGACAGGACTATTAAAACGTGGATGGTTGGAGAATAGCCATCGTTAACGCGGGGCTAACCTTCTTATTATCAAGAACGGACCAAGCTCTGGTCGTTGGGGCCAATTTAAAAAGAATGTCTTCCGCGACAACGAATATGGGTGTTGAATGGCGAGCGTCATTTTGCCAGAAAAAGAACAAGACAAAAGCGAGATTTTTCGGAGTTACTTTCAGGGGCTTTTTATCAAAGAGCCACGACTGAGCACTGCTCAGATCGACGCCTATTTAGCAGAGTTTGTTCGTCTCAAAGTGATTCAAACAGAGGATAAAACATGGCAAGCGCTGATTCTGGCCAGCAAAGCAAGATCCTGGGTACAGATGACTTTCCAATGAATTGCTTGTTTAGCGGCATATCGACTCAACATGGGTCATTTAATGTCGAAATTTAATTTTCTTGGGAGCATTAGTAAGTTCATTTACAAAAATGCATTGCTGGTATTTTTATTTTTTATTTTTTTACAAAATAATGTAATATTTTTTTTACTATGAAAATGTATGTATTTTTACTATAAAAATGTATTGTTTATGCTTTCATCGTGTTTTAATCCTAACAATGTTACCACCCCAGCTCATCAGGACCAGCTCACCTGGGAACAATTTCAATTAATAAGTGTTTCCACGCTCCTCAAAACCTTCCGAGCAGAAACCTTGCTGTCGGATGAAGTTTATCGTCATACCCAGGACGGTCTATGAATTTTTCTCAAGCCAGTCGTCAGGGTCTGTTTTGTTTTTGTTAGCTTGATCTTTAACAATTGATTGAAGAATGGGATGTCTATCCCAATGCTTTACTAGGGGTCGGATTAAATCGCTGCACGTAGATAAACGCAAAAAGGACAGGACTAGTAATTTTCGACCTCTAACAGACCTTAGTCAAGGCCTTAGTCAGCAGTCTACGTTGTGCTCTATAGCTTGATTGGACCTGAACAGACTTGTGCTGCGAAGGGCAGGGAAACTCAGGACAATATTCATTTAGTACGCTTGATCATCGAAAAACTCGACACTGAGTCTGCATCGATCAAATTTAGATCAGTCCAATGCATTCGATAAAATTGATCATTGATTTCTGGAGGCTTCACCGGTGCGGTGGGTAAAGTGAATGACATACGGTCAAAACCTTTCATGTCTTTTTCAGATTCCATTTCACTGATGTTGTATATTCTTGAGTAGAAAATTTTCATTCTCAAGTTAAATGGTGAATATGGTCCTCGGCATATTCACGTTACAATTTGCAGTCACTTCGATTAGATACTCCATCGATACAAACGTATTTGTGAGTGTAAGGAGCAATGCAGCGAATGGCGAAGTCATTAAAGAGTGAGTACGACGGCAGTAGGGGTCAAAAATCAACTGCGATAAGACTGTTGGCTTGCCGTTGGGTATGTGGATGGGGGCTTCTCTATCCGGGCCTTTCTGATGGGCAGACGAGCTATGAAAGGTTCTCGGGTTATAGTTTGTTTCAGATTTCCATCTGGAGAATAAAATATTCACTTACACACAAATACTCTTCAATAAGGTATGAATCCACCTCTCCCCCAGCTATGTGTGAATTAGTAATACCTGTATCATTAAACCTTTATTATCTCCGAAAAGAAAATTGTTACAATCTAAAAATATATACTGACTTTAAATAACCTGCAATAGGTTGATAAACCGTAGAAAATGAATCAACCAATCAATAAAGTTATGGATGTTTTCACCGACAACTGATTCTGATAGTTCTTACACGTACTACTTAGGGGCGTATTTCGATCCTCACTGGGTGCCTCATACTTTCGGCCTTCTGCCACGATGGAGAGATTGTGCATTGCAGGGCAATGATAATTACGCGCAAATATTCTTGAGAAAGGTATGAATCCACTTATTCTCCTCCAGCTATGAATTAATTAGTATGATCTGTATCACTAAATCAGTATTATCATAAAAAATTCTTAGAATCTAAAAATATTTGAATAACCTGCAAAGGGTTGATAAGTCGTAAAAAACGAATCAATCAATAAATCTAAACGTTTCAAAATGGCCGGCTTCTCTCCGGACTAAAAAAAAAAA